GTGAAGTTGGTTTCTAGGTCCCCTTCGGTTTTTTTAGAAAGTAAGTCGAAGTTCAGCCTTGAAGCTTTTCTTCAATGAACAGGAAAAACCAGCTGCTTAGGTATTTCCGCTGATGAGTCCCCACTAAACTTGCAGAAGTGGTAAAAGTACAAAAGGTTTTTCGGGGGGAGAGAAAGTGTCTGTAGTTTTGATGGATTCGATACGTAACTTTTGTAAGTCTTAAATTTTTTTCGACTTACCATTTCTACTCTTAATGATACTGATTTTAACTTGACTCTATATTCAAGTTTTAGTTAAGGACTATACTCATCACTCGTGTCAATTATGTTGCATCATCACTCAATTTACTTTACTTTAATTTTATTCCACTTCCTACTGGATTATTGTATATGCGATTGTACAGCCAGAGGGGGATGACATCAGTGTGTAAGGAGAGAGAAACTTTTCTCTGAACGCCACTTCTTTCATTAATCTGTTATTACGAATTCACGAAGATATGCAAGTGATGAAGAGCAACAAGTTGGCAGAAGTAGCATCCAGAGAAGATAGAACTTCCTCCAGGTGAACATAGAGAAAACAGAGGTGATGAAGACTCCTGGCCAACACTAACAGCAAAAACAGACAATAATCAACATAAATAGGAGGAACCTGAAAGAAACAACCTCCTTCACCTACCTGGGAAGCATCGTTTCAACTACAGGCCGATGGAAATGACGAGGATATCAAAGCAAGAATAGGAAAAGCAAGACAAGCTTTCATTACTCTCAAGTCTGTGTGGAGGTCAACAGCACTCAACACCAAAAATAAGATCTGGATTTTCAACTCCAATGCGAAGTCAATGCTACTATGCTGATCAGAGACTTGGTGCGTCATAAAGACCACCTCAAACAGATTACACACCTTCATTAACAGTTGTCTTCTCTCAATACTCAAGATCAGATGTCTTGGCCAAAAAAGATCAGCGACAAAGATCTCTGGCAATGAGCGAACCAACACAGCAGGAACCGATTGTGAAACAAATAGGCAGGAAGAAATGGAGGTGGAATAGATTGGCCTTACTCTGAGAAAACAAACCATCAAGTGACATCACTAGACAAGCCATCGCTCGAGTGGAACCCGAAAGGGAAGTGGCGAGTTGGTCGTTTCACGGTGGGATGTATTGGAGGAGGTCATGTGAAGAGGAGATGAAAACATGTGAGCAGACTTGGAGCCAGGTGAAAACTTTAGCAGAGAACCGAACGCAATGGAGACGCGTGGCTGAAGCCCTATGTTCCTATAGGAATTAAAGGAAATAATAATAATAATAAATAATAATACGAATTCACCTTCCAGAAAAATATGTCAATATCTAAATTCCAACTTAATGAGTTTCTAAGTGCCATAATAAATTGAGCACTATTCAACAAGATATACTTAAGAAGTTGAAATAACATCTTTAAACAAACCATCAGAGATTTGAACAACAATTAATCAAAACAAATATAACGAATCTTGTTGAAGAGCTATTCACGATGCACTTGATCCTTAGCAAGACTGAATATGTGTATGCTTTAGCCATCGGATAGCAAGACAATATGTTTACCTACTCTGATTTTACTCTCTTTGCATTCCGAGGGGAACATACTGCTTCAGATTTGAAGTTCTGAAGATTCAATAACCGTGATGTTGCTTCTATGGAATGCGGTTGCTAGCTTTATGGGTAACGTCTCCTCTTCCCCTTGTATATTATTTGGATAGTGAACTAGGCAATGTTTAGGTGTGCATCAGTAGGGATCGAACCCCGGACAATGTGACTGGTTGGCGAGCATTGTACCAGGGAACCACCGAAACGCAATATTCAATTATGTGACTACATTAAATTAGTATGACTACAGTGAAATGATGTCCTGGACAAAGGATGAGTCTCGTAGTTCAGCTAGTACAGTATTGGAAGAAGTGTGATGGATGACACCTCCAAACGTATGGTGGTGTAAGCCAGGTGGTATATGCCAATTTGGACCATCACTGGCACTGTCTTGGTCCTTCTGAGATAAATATGTGCGACGACTCTAAGTATTCGAACATCGCCACACCTCCGTGGGATTGCTTGGGTCGACAGCATCATCATATGAGTGACACCAAGGTACAGCAGTGTGTGTTTGGATACAGCAGCAGTCACCATTCATTGAGTGTCATCATCTGGAAACATCAGTCTCGGCAACTTGAACATATGCTACAAATGTCATTACAGAGGCTCTCATACTGGCCGCTGTTCGTTTGTTGCACATTTGATTCCTGCTAGGTTGGTTCGTTCGTTGCCAGAGATCCATGTTACTGTTTTCTGGCCTGCCATTTGATCTTCGGTAGTACTGAGCGAAGACAGCTGTTGAGGAAAGTCTCTAGTTTGTTCGAAATGGCCTTGGTGACACGGTGCCAAGTCTCTGGCACCGAAATTTAATCATCCAGTAAATAATACTGTTTCACTCTGTCTGTGTGATATTTCTCATAAACAAATTAATAGAGAAAGCTGAGGTATTAATTGGTGGATGGTAATTAGCAGTGGAATCCAGGATAACGCGCATTTCGTCCTATTTGGGACTCGTCTCCCAGCTGGATGTACCTGCATTTCTCAGTGAGTCAGTGATGATGTTCCCAAAACCGAAGCTCGAACCCAGTGGTCATAGTTTCAAACGCCAAAGCGTTATCCACTAGATCACTTGGGCCACAAGAGCCACCTCTTGTGCAACGGGTCATATTAATTATTTAATTGAATTTTAGATTTTTCCGTCGATTGATTGCTAGTCACCATCGACCAATTAAATGTCCAGGCATCATCGAAGCATCTGCACACGAAGCCAACAGACTGTCAACCTGAGACCAAGCACTTCGGTCTAATCAATTGACTGGAAAATTTAAAATTCAATTAAAGCTGAAAGATGTCTTAAGTTTAGGTTAGTGTCATAATCAGGGGGAAAGAAGTTGTATAGTTCAGATATCAAACACAAACTTCTTCACTATTCAGTGTTCAAAAGTTAACATTATTGATTGGCATAAAGAGCATCTTAAACAAACTTTAGACATTCATCAACAGCTGTCTTCGCTCAATACTCAAGATCAGATGACCGGCGAGAAAACATCAGCAACAGGGATCTCTGGGAGCGAACCAACACAGCAGGAACCGATTGTGAAACAAATAGGCAGGAAGAAATGGAGGTGGAATAGATTGGCCTTACTCTGAGAAAACAAACCATCAAGTGACATCACTAGACAAGCCATCGCTCGAGTGGAACCCGAAAGGGAAGTGGCGAGTTGGTCGTTTCACGGTGGGATGTATTGGAGGAGGTCATGTGAAGAGGAGATGAAAACATGTGAGCAGACTTGGAGCCAGGTGAAAACTTTAGCAGAGAACCGAACGCAATGGAGACGCGTGGCTGAAGCCCTATGTTCCTATAGGAATTAAAGGAAATAATAATAATAATAAATAATAATACGAATTCACCTTCCAGAAAAATATGTCAATATCTAAATTCCAACTTAATGAGTTTCTAAGTGCCATAATAAATTGAGCACTATTCAACAAGATATACTTAAGAAGTTGAAATAACATCTTTAAACAAACCATCAGAGATTTGAACAACAATTAATCAAAACAAATATAACGAATCTTGTTGAAGAGCTATTCACGATGCACTTGATCCTTAGCAAGACTGGAATATGTGTATGCGTTAGCCATCGGATAGCAAGACAATATGTTTACCTATTCTGATTTTACTCTCTTTGCATTCCGAGGGGAACATACTGCTTCAGATTTGAAGTTCTGAAGATTCAATAACCGTGATGTTGCTTCTATGGAATGCGGTTGCTAGCTTTATGGGTAACGTCTCCTCTTCCCCTTGTATATTATTTGGATAGTGAACTAGGCAATGTTTAGGTGTGCATCAGTAGGGATCGAACCCCGGACAATGTGACTGGTTGGCGAGCATTGTACCAGGGAACCACCGAAATGCAATATTCAATTATGTGACTACATTAAATTAGTATGACTGCAGTGAAATGATGTCCTGGACAAAGGATGAGTCTCGTAGTTCAGCTAGTACAGTATTGGAAGAAGTGTGATGGATGACACCTCCAAACGTATGGTGGTGTAAGCCAGTGTGGTATATGCCAATTTGGACCATCACTGGCACTGTCTTGGTCCTTCTGAGATAAATATGTGCGACGACTCTAAGTATTCGAACATCGCCACACCTCCGTGGGATTGCTTGGGTCGACAGCATCATCATATGAGTGACACCAAGGTACAGCAGTGTGTGTTTGGATACAGCAGCAGTCACCATTCATTGAGTGTCATCATCTGGAAACATCAGTCTCGGCAACTTGAACATATGCTACAAATGTCATTACAGAGGCTCTCATACTGGCCGCTGTTCGTTAGCCCACGGACTGAATGGAAAAAAGAAGAGAGGTGATCAGCCCATGATGTGGCGCGGTGAGATGAAAGATACTTCTACTACGCCAGCATCACTTGGTACAATACAACTCTCTGGTTGAGATACGGGAGATCCTTCGAATCGGTAGCTCGAAGCGTTATCAGATATGGACAAGAAACGCAATCAGTGACGAACATGCCGAAATTTCCCTCCCTCTTCTCTTTGTGAAAGTGACATAAAGTGGAGAACATTAAGTGATCTCGAGAAGAACGCTTAATTATTTCCTGGATAAAGTCCCTCACTCTTTTCTTTTATTCTTTTAACTTCCCAGTGGAACGTAGGGTGCTTTCAAGCTAGAGCGTTCTCATTTTTACGGGATGGGGTTGCTAGTCTAGCCAGCTAGTGGGGCGGGGAAGGATTCGACTAGGAATAGACAGTTGACATATTCGTGTATTATCGTGACACTAACAATCAATGCGGTTTGCTTGACAAGTCACATGAGTTATCCTAAAAGCAAATTAGACACCTAGCACACTAACAATTAAAAAATAATAATAATTATTATTATAACACAAAATATTATTATTCTACCGATAAACTTTTGTTGGACCCAAAAGTGAACGCCAAACAGAGATAGCTTCATTACCACCAAGAATATACACTCCAAGTGGTCCACTAAAAAAAAAGATAAAATTAAATTTTAAAAAATGAAATAAATTAAGAAATTTTTTAAAAGAAAAGACAATAATCAGGCTATGCAGCCACACAACAGACAGTTTTATCAACCATGAACAATTCCAAAATGTTTGCAAGGACAATGGAAGCTTGCTCCACACAATTATACCATCCAGTTTAGAGAACTGAGTCACACCAATAGCATACATTTGAGCTACAAATCTCCATCATTTCAATGAATACTTAGCTGTTTTAATGATGATAAAATAATCTACCAATCACACAGCTATTATCGGTTAACACATAACTGGCCAATCAGAATCGAGAATATTTATACAATTGATTCAGATAAACAAAATCAACTATTTATTGTAAAACTGTTCAAGGTTTCGAAATAAAAAAAAATGAGTAGAACAAACATAATACAGGAGCACGAATTCATAGAATAAATATTTTGTCAAAAAATGTGTACATAAGAAATTACTATTCAAATGTTAAGTGTATAATACATGAAATGAAAAATTTTCAACATACCATATCATATGACTGACAAGTCGATCGTAGAAAAATTTACCTAAATGAAAAGATGTAACAAAAGGGTGTTTTAGAAGGTGAGAATTCAGAAAAAGCGGATGTTATAATTTTTTTTTTAATGGTAAAGCTTTATTTAAGACAGTATGCGAGTATACGGTACAAAAATTTTCAGCGTATTCAGTTCCAAAGTACTTTTTTTCACACAGGATTCACATGTAAAGTAATAATCTGAAGTATATCTTCATTTCGTTGAAGAATTGTACAGCGTTTACTTGGGAGCAAGTTAAATCATTGCGCAAGTTTATGTATAGGTCATTTGATATAACTTGATGATTAAAACAATGATAAATCCAGATGAAATTAAGCATTTTGGAGGAAAGTAATTTCGATAGCCCAATGATTTAAGCAGGCCGCCAGTAATATATATTCAACAACCACTTGGATTCCAGTACTGTGTCAACAGTAAGCCACATATCTATTGTGTGAGAGAGGTTTGGCTCCACAAAGGTCGATGGACGCAGCAAGGATTAAACCCTTCACCCACTGGTTGAAAGACAAACGCCTGGATAACTGAACAACAGCCTCATTTATCAATACAATTAAGTACTACCGTATATAATACTAATAATAATTTGTTAAACCTAGGAGTACTTGACAGCTGTTTCGTCCTAGTTTGGGACTCCACAGGGGCTCGATCCTAGGACCTTCTGGTTAACAAGGTGAGCTCGTACTGCTAAAGAGTCCCAAACTAGGATGGAGGAAGCAGCTGTCCAATGGTTTTCTAACTGATGATGAAATCCTCCAACCAACTAAACAAGATGACTACAAAACCAATACTTGAAAAATAATATTTTTTGCTTTTCTCCGAAACAGTAATTATATTACATCATGAAATATTCAGCACTTGTGACAATATTGCATCTAATTCACTCGATAACAGCAAAAAACAAAGACAAAAAGATTTATATTACAGGGCATAGTAAACAAAATTAATAATAACGGCTTTTTGGTATTAGTAGTAAGAATAGAGTCAAAAATGTACAAAATAGTTTAAGATGATAGTAATAACCGTTAATAGCTAAAATTATAAGATTATTATTGAAATAGAGAAGAATAAAGAGCTATTTATTTGACTCTTTACACAGTAAGTTATAAATTCCACTCTAAATAGTTTCTCTATCATACAGAACGCGAATGGGTCGAATAGGGTATGGTTGAGTTTTCATACTTGCTTGTACGAGTAAATAATCTTTTAAAATGACTTCTAATCCTACCTTATAAGATGTGAGGCGGCGAGAGTTGTGAAGAGAGAGAGAGAGATGGGGTATTGAGAGTCGGAAAAGATAGATTTAGACGATTTCTAGCATGAGTTCAGGTGTCTCTTGACTACATTAGTCATGCATGAGTTGTCTTAATGATGCTCACCACTTGCCCTACTAACAACCTTTACTATCTTTCGAATTATGATGTAGCCCAGGAAACACTCAGGGGCGGAGGAGCAGTAAAGAACAATGAGTAAGATGTAAGAGATTTGATGATATTATATGGTTGGAGGTAATCGGACACAAGAAGCCCCACCTTGGACCTAGGTTTCGTGCTAGTTGGCACTCACCAGTCAGCAAGGCATATCTGCAACTACCCTGAAGTAACTCATGTACCTTTTGAGATTCAAACCCACGTCACCTAGTGCTGAGAATGCAGTCAGAGACACTACCACTGAGCTATTCATGCTCGCGATAGACCTCCTGTAGGACTGTAGTGGACACAGCCTGACCATCAAGTTAGGGGTGATTCGCTACAGTCAGCAGGTAAGGAAGATAAGGTCTAGCAGGATAGATAACCATACACACACACACAACCCTGAGCATTACTTCTAGTTGAAGCCAACCAGGAAAATGCAGATAAAAGTCTTTCAAGCAGTATAACTAACTGGCTTCCTACAATACTTACATATCTTGAGCATACATTCAGATGTTGGTTTGCAGGGATTTGATTGGTTAGCGGATTTCATCATGAGACGACATCGGGGTTAGAGGACCGTTGAGAAACTCATCAGTGTACTAAACAGCTGTGTCTTCTCCATAGTTAGAGAGTCTTCAGCAGTACGCACCTACCACCAAGGTTCGAATCCAGGAACTTCCCGTTACAAGAAGAGCTCATAGACCATTAAGCCACTAACTGGGACCCAATCCAATGGCCAGCGCATGAATTCCAATTCCTGCCAATTCATGATATAGCGCGATCACTAGTCAGTATCATTAGTGGCAAGTACTTGTCCTCAAACTAGACCATACTCTGAGGAAACAAACCACCAAGTGACATCACTAGACAAGCCCCCGAGCGCGGAACCTGACAGAATAGGAAGTGGCGAGTTAGTCGTCCTACGATGGGTTGACTTGAAGGAGGTCACATGTGAAGAGGAGATGAAAGCATGTAGGCAGACTTAGCGCCAGGTGATTGAAACGTTGGCAGAGAACCGAACGCAATGGAGAAGTGCAGCTGAAGCCCTATGTTCCTGTAGGAATTAAAGGAAATAATAATAAAAGTAATAATAGACCTGCTGAACCCCACTAGTCCCGCCTTCTCGCTAGAATATGTGTCTTGTTGCCCTTTATTTAATTATGCAAACATCTATTGAGCTGGTAAATCATTGTTCTTATGTTGAGATGGATGACAACGTCACAAGCATCACAATAATAATAATAATGATAATAATAATAATGACCACTCAACTCACCTTTATGTTCAGCATAAAATAATTCAGCGCGATCACGTGTCAGATAAAATTCTTGACTGTGGATAATTTTCAATTGGGCATTGAGAATCACAGATTCAACACACTGAAATTTTTGAAGCATACAAAGTCGATTAAATAAACAGAAAAAAAACCCGATCGAAATTTATTGTGATAAACTTTTTTTTCTCTGTCTCTTCATTAGTATTATTTTGTCTTCACACTTGTAATATTTTGCATTTTCAACTTTCTTGTTCTCTACCCCCACCCGATTAAATTTCTACACCGCACTACCACTTTAACTGACCTGACCAACACTCAATTTCTAGTCATTTATGTTACGTCATCCAACTTATTTAGTCAATTTCAGTTCTAATTTAAATGGCATTATCATCATCTACCCTACTTCTCCTTAGTCTCTACCTGTAATTACCTCTGTTGCTACCCTGACCTAAGTTGAAACATTTTAATCAATTGTATTACGTCATCTAACTTACTTACTAACTCAATCTTACTTTAGTTGCTGTCCGATTAACCTTGTTTCTATATTAGATCATTCTTTTATTACCTGATCAATTATCTAAACTTGACAAACCTCATGTACACACACACACACACACAAATAATTATATATAAATGCGATTGTACAGCTATGTGAATGAATTCGCCGAAAATAGTCTCTTCGCTGAACGTCTTCTCTTTTTCATAAACTAAAACTTGAAAATTATTCTACTGACTTAAAGGGGGAAGTTCCTTAATATCGAATGAAATATAGTGACCAGTAGATTCCAAAATACGTCGGGATTTGAGGACAGTAACTCGCCAACGAGATTTGTTATCGATCTTGTAAATCGGAATTCACAGGCTATCGGATCTTGTTTCAGTGGTAAATGGGATCTCCGCGTAACCTGAAAGTGCCAGGTTAGACACCTTCACTGGAGTGGAGACAGAATGCTCACCAATCAGGCAAGTGGTTCAGTGTTCGATTCTCAACCGTAGCACTCCGAAATCCTACTTAGCTGGTAGTAAGCCTGGTTAAGAGTGAAGGTTGGGCGGTGGCTGATAACTCTATCCCGTAGTAAAACGACAGTACCACTTTAATGACAGAAGAGAAGGGTCAGGCAACAGATCCTTTATTGAGAAAATCAACAGATAGTTAAAGATTTTTATGAACATTAGTGTCAGCGGAGAAGCTAAGTTTCCTGATTGGTTGTTTTCTTGCTGAAGGTTATTCTGTACTGCTTGTGACCATTTCTTAGAAAGTTAAGCCATATATCTGCGAATCGTATTTGCACACAACAAATCTGCTTTGATTGGTTGTTGAGTTCCTCAAGGTTAAGCTTTGTTACTGTGTTTTCTCTCATGATGCCGATTCGGGACGTGAACACTAATATGAATTCTTGTCTTCAATTTCGGCTTGCAGCCAACTTTCACCACACTTCTACTAGTGGCTATTATTAAACGCTAAATAGTGTTTCGTCACGTGATCAAATGTTATTTTTTCATAGGAGTTAATAAGAAGACAATTGCAGCGAAGAAAATTTTCTTTTCGATAAAGAAAGGAAGACGACGAAATTTGCAGTATAAAATGATGCCATCATTCTATCTCACAGGTTCTCATCAGCTGCTGCAGACTACCTGAAATTACAATGGTTATATAGATGATAACATACTTTAATGTTTGAGTGGTGGTAGAGAAGAGATACTATAAAATTGACGCATCTAAATGAAAGCATTACAATGTTTTTAGTTTAAGTTTTCATCAAACTAAAAACATTGTAATGCTTTCATTTAGATGCGTCAATTTTGTAGTATCTCTTCTCTACCACCACTCAAACATTAAAGTATGTTATTATCATCTATATAACCATTGTAATTTCAGGTAGTCTGCAGCAGCTGATGAGAACCTGTGAGATAGAATGATGGCATCATTTTATACTGCAAATTTCGTCGTCTTCCTTTGTTTATCGAAATTTATCAAGGGAACCAAATGTAAAAATTTTCTTTTCGACGAAGTCATCATCTTATTAACTCCTATGATCCAATGTGTATATTCCGTTATTTTTTCAATTTTATTATAGCTTGACTTCACACACCGTATTTTTGGTACAACTATGGAATTTTCAGCATGTGATATCTATCGGTAGACCACATTTAGCAGGCTGACCATTGATGTCAAGTGTGTGTCAGCCGGATATCGAAGACCACATATGCCTGGATGGCGAGCATTCTACGGCTGTACCACAGACGAAGATGGAAGTGGATAAAGGTATAGTAAGTCTGCCGGATATGATGCAAAAACGTAGTGTAGACGAATTAATACATAATATAAAGGCAATAAGATAATATTGAAGCGACGGTGGTTCAGAGATAGACCGTTCGCCAACGACGATACACTTGGTCCAGGATTTAATGCCCCGCCAACGTTTGCACCAGTGCTCAGTAGTAGAACGCTCGTCAGTCATAAGAGAGGTTAGGCTTCCATTCCCCAATCGACGCATTCCTAAGCACATCGTCTAGTTTACTAGCTAGTAGCAGGCTTGGAGAAGAAGGCAAGTTGAGCGCGTGTGGCTCAAAAACCCGCCCCAAACCCGTAAATACAATATCATTGCAGGTGAAACAACACTTTAAAGGCCGAACTTATGCCTTCCACTCAGAAGACAAGAAATGAAAAAAACACGGTTAACAGAAAAAAATATTTTGCTTTGAAAATTATTATTATTATTACCTTACGATAATTGATAAATCGTTGTACATCTGGCTTCAATATAGCCAGTGTCATTTGTTTCACCGACATACCTGAAACTACTAAAATACAGTTTATAGTAGTATGTTGATAAATACATAAATTAATATGCAACAAAAAAATTAACGGTTCAAATGACTGAACGCTTGACGAGTTTGGTTTCGTATCCTGATGACCTTGGATCTGATGCCTAATGGGGTTGTGGATTCGCAGGGTTGTGAAGAGTCACAATAGATGATTGATTGTGCTCCTTGCTTTAAAATAGCCTCGAATCGATTTCGATTCAGGACTAAATCTGCAGTAAGAGGTAGGAATGCATTTTAACATTCGCATAGAGTAGAAAAACGACTAAGGAGATAAGTAAACAGGGATTCCATTCATACTTTTGAATATTACGCAATCAATATGTGCAATAAGTACTTCTACAACTATGCGAAGACCATGATGAATAAGATTTTATTTTGATAAATCACACAGTGTTTGTTATACAGTAATATTAACTGATGACCACGTTTTGAGCACAAACTATTGCCACTCATAATCATATCAAGTTACTCACAAACACAAATATCTTGCTTCATTTATATACATGAGTGCAATTAATGATTAGATATTGGAATAAAAATCAATATGAGATAATGTACATTCAGAAATAATTAATATGAATGGTATTGATCAATTAGATCAATCAGATGGGAAATAAGACGAGTGTTTTTATAGTCATAATAAGTTACTTGTTAGAATGTGAATAAAAATTAATTTTTACATTGCTTATTATCCTCTTCTGATTTGACTGACTGGTGGTAATAATATCTGCCATATCTCTGGTATTTGCATTGAGTCATTTCTGTTGCATGTGTTGTGTTGGGTGTAGACTCACTCGATGAACAAGGATTCAGTAATCAACCTGTCTCGCTCTCCACCTACCTATATTCCTTTTTAGAATTCTAACCCTATCTCACCCTATTGTGTGTTAATGCATACAGTACAATTGGTGAGATTTTTTCTAAATTACTTATTTTTTCAGGGTCAACCATTCTGACCTTAGCTACTAAATTCTTATGTTCTGATAATCTCACTATTCCTAATCTACCAGTTTGACGGACCTATGTAATTGACCTAACTCATAGTCATTGCAAGGTATTTTGTAAATTATATTATTTTGTATAATTGGGTCCACAGACAGGCTTAGTGAGTGTCTAACAAACCGAGCAGTAGCACTAAGTAGCACAAGAAAAGACCCAAATGCTGAAATGAAACAGACAGAAGAGGCTTTGGTGTTAAATAACTATCCTTTAAAATTCATTAGCAAGATCAAAAAAGGCAAAAAGAAAAAGAAAAATAATTGTGAAACTAGTATTGATAACATAAATAAGAGAGAATATAAGGCATCCACAGTAGTGTTACCATATAAGGAGGGGACATCTGAGACCCTCCCTGCGTAGGATTCTAAATAAAGCAGGAATTAGAGTGGCATTCAAACCTACAAACTCACTAGGGACATGCTCTGTAGGTTAAATCATCCTGTATGTTGATCCAATTCGACAAAATAATATAATTTACAAAATACCTTGCAATGAATGTGAGTTAGGTCAAGTACATACGTCGAAATAATAGGTCAGATTTTCGGAACATATGAATTTAGTTAATGTAGGAATGGTTGACCCCGAGAAGATAAGTAATTTATAAAAAAAAATTTGTACTTGTATATATATACAACTAGGCTCCTATCCTATCAAGCCATTAAAGGATGACAATGGAAAGTCAATCACCAAAGAAGTGGAGTAGAGGAAACACTGGGCTAAACACTTCAAAAATGGAATTACACTCTACCACAGTGGACGAGCTTTACTCTTACATCAAGGATCTTCGCTCTCCTTTATAAAACTATGACTGTGGATAAGTGTTGAATGATACGTTTGGATAGGGAACGCTGAGTACGGCAGACACACCTAGCTCCACACAAGGCAGGTGAACTGGTAGGTGTACACTGATTGGTTTTTAATTGTTAATTTAATTTAATTCTCTCTCTCTACATATCCTCTATTAAATTTCTACTCCTCACTATTACTGTTGTTTACTTGACTGTCATTGACACGATTATTCAATTTACCTGTTCAACTTTGATTTAGATCCTACCAAATTAGAGCTTTTTATACTGCGTAATTTGTTATCTAAAATTTACAATTCTAATGACACATTGGATAGTTAGTTGGAGGCAATCGGCCACGGGAAGTCCCGCCTTGAACCTAAGTTGCGTGCTAGTCGGCACTCAACAGTGCAGTCAGCAAGGCGTGTCTGTAACAACCTCGAAAAAAAACTCATATCCCACCCCTCTGAGATTCGAACCCATGTCACCCAGTACCGCCTGCAGTCAGACACGTTACCACTTCTGAGCCAGCTGTTCAGGCTCGTGATTGACCTCCTAGAGGACTGTAATGGATACTTTGACTGGACACTAGTAACTAATGTGACGTGTCTAGTCCTATTTTTGGTGCAGACTGAATTCTATCAATCAAGTGTTTGACAGGTGGTCACCATGTTAGGTGGTACACCATCTCGGTAGTATGAACTCTGAATTATTTGTTAGGTCTGTCTGTCTGTTTTCGACATCGAACTATACACAAATGTGCGGGAGTTCAAGTCGCCACACTCCGTGTAGCACGCGAAGCAAGAGAAGAAAGTACAAGAAAAGCATAATAGAAACAGTGAGCAGAGGTGTGAGACAAAGGAATAGTAATAACGAAGAACAAAACAGTTTCATTGGAAATCATAAGTCACAAGGAGTGGATGCATCTGCATTGGCCAGCCACTGAGAACGATTTTGAGCCATGTCACCAATTGTTTCCAACCATTGATTTTTACCGTCCTGAACACCCCAACTAGACAGTCAGGAAGTCTACACCTTCCTACGTGGCTTAGACCAACTGTTGTGGATTTCATTGACTGGTAAGGCCAAGTTTTTGTTTGACCTCCACTAGCTTTTTTTCCAGCCTGACCCTATATCCGCTAACATAACTCGTCGAGGGAGGCGATGGCTTGGCATACGTAACACATGTCCTAACCATCTCAGTCTTTGTAACTTCACGACTTCGTCGATTGATTTCCCCTGTTTACCTAGAACTCGACGCCTAACCTCAATGTTGCCCACCTTATTATGCCACTTTACACGGGAAATAGAGCGCAGGAACCTATGATCAAAGACAGCTAGTCTTTTCATGTCTTCCACACTCAATGGCCAGGTCTCACTCACAGCCAGCCATGAAGGAGGATGGAGCAGACTGATGAGAAGTACACACACCCTTTGGTTGATAGCCAGTCGGATATCACATCTCTGCCAGAGACGGCGTAAACTAGCGGTCGTATGCGAAACGAGCCCCCTGTATACGTGCTGAGATTTCGTCAGCGATCAACCCGTTGGGACTGGCTGATGGTACTTCCCAAATAAGTGAAGCGGTCGACGTGCTCTACCACTTCACTCCCTATTTCTAATCTAGGAGTCAGTGTAGTCCAGTCCTGTAACATCATCTTGCATTTGGCGGGAGCGAGTCGCTCGCATGCCAAACATTCGTAGATTGCAGCTCAAGATGTTTAGAAGACTCTGCTCTATTTTGTCAGCGTCCTCGCCTAGAAGGAGTATGCCGTCATCTGCATATTCTAAGTCAACGAGATTATTCCCTGGTAGGAAGTCAATCCCGGTGTCGCTGAAGTCACTTTGGGTTAAGTCCATTAACACATCTATGATGAAGTTGAATAGAAAAGGGGATAATGGGCAGTAGTTGGTCGGAGGTAATGACTAGGAATTCCTTTACATGACCTATGTTGTGTACTTGTTGGTATTAATTAATCTTGAAGGACTTCAATGTCCCGCCCCCTGTGAGATTCGTACTCGGGTCACCCAGCGTAGTCAACCTGTAGTCAAAGATATTACCATTGTGAACGATTCAGACTGACCAGACTCACCTCCTCTCGGAGTATCATGGATACCTTAAATTCGACATCATGCAGTCACTAATATTATGCGTCTAGTCCCAGCGACGACATGAGTCTTTCTCAAGACGACGACGAGTATCAAAAAAGCATAAAACCTGGGTTCAAGAGGCTTCCTGTTATTGATTACCTTTGACCATTTTTATATAATAGAAGGAAGAGGTTGACCACACGTAAAGCACTATGACGATGGCGACGGGTGGGGTGGCTTGGGTTGGGGGGGGGGGTTATCATTTCCCCATTGCTTCAAAACAAAAAAACACACACATTGACACCATCAAAAACATTAACACACACACATACAACACACAGATATATGCACATACAAATTACGTAATCAGTATGGTTTCACCACTTAAATACATCTCACGAGAAAGAAAAGTAATCACTGTAATATAAAATTAGAATTTATTTATTCAGAAAATACTGGGTTTTTTAATCGATAAAAAATAATACACATTTTCTCTTGATGAATAGCACTCATTTTTTCAAACTGTCACCGGCATTGTGCAATTATACATTATTCTTTGAAATCAAAGGTGGTCTTGAAGATGACGACGGTGAAGTAGACGAAGACGGTATAGTTGATAAACGCTCAGAAAACACTGATGAAGTCAGTAATTCACTGACTACTGAAACAATCGGATTCTCTGACAAATCGGGTAATTCAGAGGAACACTGAGAAATAGGTGTATGTGTGGTACAAAAAATACATAAATAAATAAATCACAAAAATATACACATTGGGTCATAGTGTAACAATAGAAGACAAGGGCCGGTAACAGATCCTTTTATTACGGAAATCAACACGTATTTATATATATTTCATATACATTATTATAGCTTATTCAAGTAGACAAACACAGTCTTCTGATTGACTGTTTTCGAGATTTCTCGGAAAGTGAAGCCATCTATCTGCGAGTCATATTTGCCCATGTTTAAGTCTGCTGTGATTGGTTGTTGATGAATCAGCCTTGTTCATATTTTCTCACGGTCAATATTAGTGACCTAGACATTGACGTAGATTAATGTCTACCAATTGGCTAGCAGCCTGCTCTCACCACAATAGGATTTATTTAAGAAGACAGACAGTTGCAGCGAAGAAAATTTTCTTTTCGACAAAGTCACCGTCAACTAGATAGCTAGCTGTACATTCGTGTGTATTTATATCATATGGATGGGAAAGTTCCAGAATAATTTCCAGTTAAGGGTCAAATTAATAAAACCACAATTAGAATTAAAATGCTACAATAAACAGGAGGCTGGACGGATAAAACTCAAACAAAGTAGCATCATCATTACTAAGACCAGATAAAGGCTCCGGAATCGTCTTGATGAACAAATCAGACTACCTAAGCAAACTCTCGGTGATCCTATATGATGATAAAACGTTTCAGAAACAGTCTCCACAGAAAGATCCCATCGAACAGACGGAGCTCCAGCTAACAAAGGTGTTGAAGAAAATGAAAGACGAATCCATTATTAGTTCAAAACTATACGAACAACTGCGCCCATTTGGTTGTAGAACGCCGCGAATGTACGACTTACCTAAAGTGCACAAACAAGACGTCCCACTGTGCCCAATACTAGATATAATAGATTCCCTATATCATACAATCGCAAAATGGCTGGTGGAGATTCTCGGGCCGGTGAAAGAGAAGTTGTCAAGACACAACCCCTGTGACATATTCGACTTTGTTGATTCAATTAAGAATGTCAATGTGGCAGAAAAGGAAATGGTCTCCTTGTATGTCGTCTCTCTCTTCACCAACGTTCCATTGACAGAAACCGTATGTTTCCTTTGTGACTACATTCAATCAAATAGCATCGATGTCGATATACCGATCCATCACCTGAAAGAACTGTTACTTCGATGCAGCTTCAATTTATACTTAAGTTTCAACAACGAAATATACAGGCATGTAGATGGAGTAGCAATGGGTTCTCCCTTACGACCCCTCCTGGTCGACTACTTAATGGTTAGACTAGAAAAACTGCTTATCATCAACCATCAACGACCTCCAACTCTACAAGAGATACAGTGATGATACTTTCATCATTTATGATGAGAATTGTGATCTAAAAAACACCTACTTCAAATATTCAATAACGTCCAACCAAACATGGACTTTACTCCTGAGGGTGAATACGACAGAATGTTCAACCTCCTCGACGTCCATCTGACAAAAAACGCCAACAACTCTCTGAAAAGGTTCATATACAAAATGCCTACATGGAATGGACCCCATTCATCAACTTTCAAAGCTTTGTGCTCCTAATCAGAAAGAGGAACCTGATATACACTCTCTCCTCGAGGATTCGGAAGATATGCAGCGAGGAAGTGATTGAAGAAGAACTGCGTAGTCTCCGAAAAACCCTGATGGAAAACGGTTTCCCTCCCAGGTTCATAGACAAGAATCTCAAAGCAAAGAAAACTTCTGAGCAAAGTCCAATCCGTTCCAAAGAAAATACTTCCGCTCAATCTAGAATTCAAAAATGACACTGAAGCAGAAATCCTTCGTAAACGTCTCTCCGATCACTGGAGAAAACGTACTTCGCCTCTAGCCTACGACTGACGTTTCCCTGAAAGAAACTGTTCAGCCAGAACGCGAAAGACAAACTGTCGCATTGGGCCACGTCAACGTGCATATATCAGTTTACTTGCTCTTGCAGAGCTGAGTACATCGGCCATACCATGCACCAACTTGAAAAACGCGCTTGTGAACACTATCCAGCCTGGCTAGTGAAAAGAGAACGAAAAGGTGTATACAGTTCAGTGACAGAATATCTGGTCAATTCAGGACATTCAGCGCCTTTCGAAAAATCCTTTACAGTAATATACAAGATTCAGTCAAACCTGTCAAAAGGAGTGAAATTAGGACATCTTGGCATAGCTGAGGCTCTAGCTATCCCAAAGCTAAAACTCACCCTATGTATCCAAAAGGAAACGTCCAACTCTTGTCCCTGCCATGGCCATCATAACACAGGTAATTCTTTTAGTAATGACCATCCCATTGCCTTTCTTATCTAAACTTCCTGTTTATTCATGTTATTTTTAAGTTTTTCTTAATCTCTGTTTACACTACCATATTTTCATATCCCAACTTCTACATATTTAATCCCTGATTGCATAAACAATTATCTGTCACATTCGTTTTTTATCAAAACATCTTGTCTATTTTTGTTATTTCTACAATTCTGACCCCCCCCCATTGCACAACCCACGTCAGTCTTCTTAGTAATTATGATGCCGCTTTGTTTAAGTTTTATCCGTCCAGCCCCCTGTTTATTATGGCATTTGAATTCCTAATTGTAATTTTTATTAATTTGACCCTTAACTGGAAATTATTCTGGAACTTTCCCACCCATTCGATATAAATACACACGAATGTACAGGCTAGTTGACGATAACTTCATCGAAAATAAATAAATAACTACATACAATTTTCAAGTATTGGTTTTGTAAGGATTTGGTTTAAATTCGATTGAGGAGGATTTCATTATGAGGTGTACCAGTAGGGGGGTTTACACAGCAGCTTGAAGATGAGTCAGTAACTCACTCATCAAAGAAGATGAAGCAGACATTGCGAAATGATCACACAATGTCGTGAATTGGTAGAATTTAGAATTCATGTGCATTGGTTGTGGCCATTGGATCGGGTCCCAGTGAGTGGCTTAGTGGTCTATAAGCTCGCTAGCCTTGTAACCAGAAGGTTGTGGATTCGAACCTCACTAGCGGCGGGTGCGCGTACTGATAAAGAGTGCCGAACTAGGCTGACGAAGCAGCTGGCTGTCCAATACTCTCAGCAGGTTTTCCAGTAGTCCTCTAACTGATTTCAGCTGATGATGAAATCCTCCATCAAATTAAATAAAATTTCAAACACGCAGAATTGTATAAAATGCAAAAGAAAATATTCTCTCCGAGGTTATACACCACCTATGGTGAAAATGAATCAATGATCGACATATCGTGAATTTTTATCCATACTTATATTATTATTATTATTATTATTATTGATGATGATTATAATAGTCTCGACCAAAAGGTGATGGAGGTGGTCAACCATGCATATCGTTCATTAATGATACCCCCTATGTGTATAAACCACCCCATCGTTATAAATTTTTCTCATTAATGTAAGTAACAAGTTTGTGTATATATATATCCAGAATTGTATTCCAGATTGTTGACACACACACACACACCTGTGCCGAGTCACTCTTCTTACATGTATTCGGTGTGATTGACTAACAGGTTTCAACGTAGAAATTTGCACATATGTACAGCAGTTCAAGTCGCCACACTGCCTCCAGGTAGCATACATAGCAAGAGAAGAAAGTAGAAGAAATGTATAATAGATAGAGACAGTAAACAGAGGTGTGAGACAAAGGAATAGTAATAACGAAGAACAATATAGTTTGATTGGAAATCATAAGTCACAAGGAGTGGATGCATCTGCACAAGCTAGCCAGCCATTGAGAACGATCACTTTGAACTATATCACCAATTGTTTCCAGCCTTCATTGGTTTTTGCCGACCCGACGACCCCAACCAGTCAGCAAGTCTACACCTCCCTTGGGCAGCTCAAACTAAATGTTGGAGATTAGATTAAGTGATGAAGCCACTTTTCGGTTTGACCACCACTAGCTAGCTCTCTTCCAGCCTGACCCTATATCAGCTAACATTGCCCCCATTATCGAGGAAGGCGATGACTAGTCATGCATACGTAACACATGTCCTACCCATCTCAGTCTTTGTAACTTCACAACCTCGTCGATTGATTTCCCCTCCCACCTACCTAGCACTCCACCGAGGCCTAACCTCACTATTGCTCACCTTATTATACCACTTCACACGGGAGATAGAACGAACGCACCTATGATGGAAGACAGCTAGCTAGTCTTTTCATGTCTTCCACTCTCAATGGCCAGGTCTCACAGCTAGCTATAAAGGAGGATGGAGCGGACTGATGAGCAGTACACCCGCCTTTTGGTCGATAGCCAACTGGATATCACGTCTATGCCTCAAACTAGTGTCAGGTAGTTAGAAATAGTCGGTAGGAAACCCTATCTTACCAAGATTTCAGCACTTGTTAGCATGACGTATTTGTAAATTCAAAAGAATTGATATTCAAGTATTGGTTTGTAGGGATTTGATTGATTTATTGATTTCATCATGAGCTGACATAGGTTGGAGAACAATTGTCCAGTACTCCCTGGTTAATTTTCCAATGGTTCTCTAACCAATGTCAGCTCATGATGAAATCTTGTAGCCAATCAAAAGAATCGGTAGGCTCTCTGGGGATTTGAAACCTAGTCACTCACAGAGAACCTTCTGTGTACATAAAATTTAGAGAAGTTTAGGTAATATACACACCCAAAACATTGTTTTTTTTTTACTCCTTCACGTTCCCAGTGGACGTGGAACATAGGGCTTCAAACTAGAAGCTTGCTTCATGCTCAACCTTTCCTCTTTTACCAGCCTTTTATTACTAGCTTAGCCAGGTAAAAGAGTGCGTCTGTGACTGGGGATAGAACCCCGAACCACTTGAGGCGCGGTCGGCGGGCATTCTACCGCTGTGCCACCCACGCACCCGAAACATAGAAAGTCCACTGAAAGGGCATTAGAGAGACAGAGAGAGAGAGAAAAGATCTTAAACAATATCAACAGGTTTTACCTTTAATATCCTTTGTAATCCATTATGTAGTTTTTGACTAGCTGCCATTATTCTTTTCGCACTCTTTACACCTTTAGGAATGTTTTCAAGAACCCGTGTAAATTGTTCAGCTTCTTCTATTACATTGGACACTGGGTCGATTGATTCTACGGAGGCGGGTAAATTGAATTCTTTTTCATAAAACGATAAAAATTGTGGTAATTTTACAATGAAATTTTTAATCTTTTCATAAGATTCTTTAAAATTTACCAGCTGACAAAATAAAGAAAGAAAGAAAAACAGAACTGAGAAGTGAAAATTACGTAATTTAACTTTTTTTTATTTTTAGAGGTTGGTTTTAAGTTATATCAACAGTTTAAAAGCCTAGATCGGTTTCGTCAATGTTTACGATGCTTCCACAGTTCCAACCTATGACTCCAGTGCTAAGAATTGAACTCAGGGTCTTTGAGTTACGAGAGGCCAGTGAGTTGACCATTTAGTCACTAGGTACCAGCCGAGAACCTCTACCTTGTTCTAATGATCGGGCATATATACCGCAGTGACCCAACAAACTACACTGACTGGAACCAATGTTCCTGCAGGTCCTGCTATGTCAGGAAGGTTGTTTAGATAGCGGTTAGATTTAAAAAATACCAATTCGCCTCAAACAATCAGTGCTCTGTGTTCAAAAGATGTAAGTCCAGTCCCTACTATTGTCCTGGCCAGCCTTCAGTAGAGACTATAAATTCATGAATTTGTAATATTATCTTTCCTAATGTTTCTGATATTCAGTTTATTTTATGTTGATGCTATTGAGCTGTTTTTTTCCTTCACATTCCCCAGTGGAACATAGAGCCCCAAGCTAGTGGCTTGAAGTTTCTGTAGCAGTGTTTATTTTACAGGATGGGGGGGGGCTAGCCTCATGCCCAACCTACCCTCTTTACCAGGATTATTTCTGGCTTAACGAGGTAAAGGAGTGCGTCTGTGGCCGAGGATCTAACCCCGGACCATGTGCATGGTCGGCGAGCGTCCTAACCGCTATACCACCGACGCACTATAATCTATCAATATTATTGATTCGATGTTATTTAAACAGCATTAATGTTGCTCATGACACTAATTCATTCATTCACTATAATGTGTATATACAACTGTAGAGCCTGATGATGAAGGGGTTATCGAAAAGAGTACTCTTTGTTCAGTATAGCATTCTTTTGAAAAGAATATAGAATACATGAACTCCAGAATCCAATCGGATCGAATAGCATATGAACCTGTATCGGTCACCAATAGCCATGGGAATGTAGCTTCTGACGCCATCCTGCTGCCTTGCAGATTAGCCATCATGTCAAAGATTCGGGATGCAGAAGGGGTAGGGGCTGGTCCCATAAAACAACCACCTGCTTTGATCTGAGCAGCTGGGCAGTAATCTCAGCCCTCACAAAATCAATGAAATGAAATAACAAACTATATCAGTGCGACTAATCCCACTCTCCTAACAATGCTCTCCAACATTAAGGATGTTTCAAATGATGCGTTTCTTTTCGAACCTATTTTCATTTTTTATACATTGACTCCTGTGTTTTTCGTTTGCTTATCTTAACGTTTCGAGATGTTAGTAATCTCTTCAGATGATTCTTTGAAATTTTTTAGCTGTTGGTTTATAAATCAACTCAATTTAGAGAATCAGGAAGTACTAAAAAATCTGTTTCGTCCATGTTTGTGATTCTACCACAGGACCAACGCATGACTCCATCGGTAGGGATTAAACTCAGGAAATTCGAGTTACAAGAGGCCAGAGTGTCGACCATTTCGTGTTTAAGACAGAATCCAACAGTTCATCATCAATCTTAACTTCACTTATCGGCATGACAGTATCATTAGCCAGTATTTTTTTTCTCACACGCTCTGTCTGTCTGGATTCAACATAGAACTTGGCACCGAAGTGCAGCACTTCGAGTTGCCACCTTCCAAATAGCACACAGAGGTAGACAAGAAGATGAGTGAAGAGAATCAATACAGTCTGACAAGTATAAGAGTGAAACAGAATGGGTAGTGGTAGAAAGGAATATGAAAGATTACAGAGACTGAATACATTGACAACGCCATTGACAACGATTTTGAACCATGTTACCTATTGTCTCCAGCCATTGATTCTTAGAGTCAGTCCCGAGGGCCCCAACCCGGAAGTCTGCATCTCCCTACCTACCTGACTCAGTTTAGCTGTCAAGGATTTCATGTCATGTTTTTGTTTGGCCACCACATACTCTTTTCCAACCTGCACCTATATCAGCTAGTAATGGCCGTCGACGGGGGAGGCGATGATTAGGCATGCGCAGCACGTGACCCAGCCATCTCAATCTATGTAACTTCATAGCCTCGTCGATTGAACATCGAATGACCTTGGCGGCCTGTTTGAATATTTTTGGGCTACCACATTCCATGTACATTTTGCATCTATTTACTCGTATTTTATTGGTATTTACATATCACATTATGCATTCTAATCGTATTATCTACCCTCGGGATTTTATAAAACGTTTTAAACCCAATAACTTTCATATTTGCAATAAACTCAAGAAAAAGCACCATGGAGGTTGGCAGCGTGCCTTAAAGTCTACACCCATACATCACACCACTGTTCCAGTTATCATTAGTACCAACTGCCGGTCCCTGCCTAACAAAATTCTGGATTTTCAGTCTCTGTTGTCTTCTAGTACCTACCACAATACTGGTATAGTCACTCTGCAAGAAACCTGGCTCCATGACTCATACGATGACAATATTGTGTCTTTAAACAATTTCAATGTTTTTCGACAAGACCGTATTTGTTCCAAGAAAAAGTGTGGTGGAGGTGTTGCAACTTTTATTCACTTAAAATGGTCCATTTCAAACAAAGTTTGTTTCAAATTCTCGAATGACTTCATTGACTGCATCACTGTGAGATGTCGCCCGAAACACATTTCAAAATACAAATTCATTTATATTTCTAATGTTTATGTCTCTCCTGGCTGTACCATATTGGATTTATCTATGTTCGCCGATGAATTCACCGCTTTTGCTGCAGCTTGCTTCGAGAACTCTTTATCAATAGTAACAGGTGATTTTAATTCATGCGATCACTCCTTCCTTATATCACTTGGTCATGACAATATTGTCAACTTTGCCACCCGTCTTGGTAAAAAATTGGACCTGGTATTTATCAATGATGTTGGTATATATGAAGCTCGCAAACGTGCTCCTCTACTTAATTCTGACCACTGCATCATACGTGTGCTGCCTAAAATATATTCCAAATCACACAAAGGTGTCCTCTCTCACCTCTGCAGTAAAGTTCAACGGAGATGCTACTCAAAAGACAACCTAGACAAGCTCAGATGCATGTTGAAAGACACTAACTGGGACTTATTTACAGAACAAACATTAGATGAAACAATCACAAACACTACTGATTATCTTAAATTCTGTTTCGAAATATGTTGTCCTAAAGAAACATTATTCATCCGATTTGATCGCTTATCTTCGCCATATCTCAAAAAGCTACGTAGAAATAAAGAACTGTTGTTCAAAACAAATGATAAGCCTGGTGTAAAAAAGTTAAACATGCTGATAAAACTGGAAATAAAAAGACTAGGTGTTTTATATAATCAAAGATTTTTGTCATGTAAAACCCCTTCTAATTTATGGAAACTTTTCAAAGAAATTACTAACGGTAAGCGATGTATTTCTGTTCCATCTCTTAATGTTGACACTCTTAATAAATCTTTCATACGCTCTTCTGTTGATACCCTTCCAAATGATACAAATCATATTGACAATAACTTTAGTGGTTTTAATACCCTTGATGTGCTTAAATGTCTCCGGTCTCTTAAGCCTTCTCAAAGCCTTGGTCCTGACGGCATACCTGCCATTGTCCTCAGGAATTGTGCTGATATTTTGTGTTATCCTCTTACTAACATTTTTAATGCCTCTTTTTCCGGTAACGTTCTACCTTTTGCATGGAAAAACATTAAAATTATCCCTATACCAAAACCATCTTCTGGTTCTGATATTAAATTTCGGCCTATTGCAATTACTTCCCCCTTTTTAAAATTGATGGAAAAATTACTTTTACTTCGTCTTGAACCCGCTTTGAAACCTTTTAATGATCCTAAACAATTTGCATACAAACATGGTAGAAGTACCTTGGATGCTGCGGTTGTCTTATATCACAATGTTGTCTCTTGTTTAGACAAAGGTGCTAAATATGTTCGTAGTGCTTTCTTAGACTACACATCTGCTTTTGACTCTGTACCTAGGGGCCTTTTATTAAATAAGCTATCATTGACACAAACAGGATCCTGGGCTAAGAGTTGGTTGCATTCCTATTTTTCTGATAGAATGCAGTATACTGTATATAACGGCAAATCTTCTTCTACCTCGCTTACAAAATCCGGTGTTCCACAAGGTGCTGTCCTCTCTCCTTTTCTTTTTTCTTTCTTCCTACATGACCTACCTCATTCAAACGAAACTAACTTTGTCAAATATGCAGATGATCTGACTGTATCACTGCCTATCACTTCCGAGTCTGACAGCTCCAAACTTAATAGCTTTCTGTTGGACATCAACAACTGGTCCAAGTCAAATGGTCTTATATTAAATCCTTCCAAATGTCAGGTGCTTGACTTTACTTTCAAGCATCGACGTGACTTACTTGAACTAGTTAACTCTCATGATCCCTGTAGCATAGATGGCACGGAAATTGAAACCAAATCAAGTATTAAATACCTTGGACTAGTTTTTTCCTCTGACCTTTCATGGTCATCCCATATCTTATCTATCTCTAAGAAAATGTTTCGTCTTACCTTCTACATTAAAAAGTTAAGACAATCAGGTATCAACCAACCTTTAGTTTTGCAATTTTTAAACTCCTGTATTTTACCTATTGTACTCTACTGCTCTCCATTAATCTTTCCTGGGCTTCTCAAAAAAGATTATATCATATTACGAAGAGTATTAAATGCTGTGAGTAGAGCTTGTGGTCTGCCACTGCATGAGCTCGCTAATACTATAGTCGAGAGGCATATAAATTCCTGTACGAAATGGGCAAAGGCTATAATGTCAGACCCTCTGCACCCCCTTTATTCACACCTGTCCCCTTGTATCTCATCAGGTAGGACGAGAAGTCAATATAAAAAGATATATGCTCGTACTACTAAGTATAGAAATTCTACAATACCCTATTTAGCGCGTACTTTATGTGACGAAGACTCTGTTAGACGTGAAACTTACAAGTTACTATGTAATTAGCACAGTGAATCGACCCTTTTATCGTTCATCTTTCTGTATTTTATGGTGTTACACTTTCTATCGTTTAAATCGTTACTCTGCTATTTTATTTTAGTTGGTATTACTATTATTACTACAATTTTGTACTTTATACATATTTTTCTCCGTATGGCACACAGTATTTTGCTACGTAGCTGCTACAACAATCGTTTTATTACTATTATGTATTGTGTATTTTTAATTTTTTTTGTCGTTTTTGGGTAAATTAGATGCAATATTGTACTGAATGCTGAAAATTCCTTGCTGTATCATGAGTACTGTTTTTGGAATAAAGCAATTATTATTATTATTATTATTATTGATTTTCCCTGTTTGCCTGCCCAACACTCTACGCCTAACGTCAACATTACTTACCTTATTATACCACCACCTAACGTGAGAAAGAGATCATAGACATCTATGATCGAAAACAGTCAACCTTTTCATGTCTTCAACTCGTATTGGCCATGTTTCAGAGCCATATAGAAGGATGGAGCGAACTGATGAGCAGTACACACGTCTCTTGGTTGATAGTCGGATGTCATGCCTACGCCAGAGATGGTGTAAGTCAGCGAAAGAAGCTCGAGCTTTTTGGATCCGTGGTGACATTTCGTCGCCAATCAGTCAGTCCGTTGGTGCTGATACAACTTCCCAAATAGGTGAAGTGGTCACAACAGGTTCTATCACTTCACTCCCTATCACTAAGCTAGGTAGCAGTTGACGTAGTCCAGTCCTGTAGCAGCATCTTATATTTTACAGGCTCACACGCTCAACTTGGTACAGCACTCCACTGTTGTTCACGACGTCTCCCTAGAATTCAAAACAACTTTGATTTGTTGCCGCCATTTACTAGTTGCAAAATAATTCTTCAACTGAAGGCAACTCGTAATTTTTACATCGAACATAAGCGTAATAAAAAAAAACAAATCACAGGCCACTGATATTAGACTTTGTGATGTGTTAGATTATTACAATTACACATTCAAGGAATATACACAATGGACCATAGGAATTATTAAAAAGACAGTTGCAGCGAAGAAAATTTCAACGTATACTTTAGTTTCAACAACGAAATATACAGGCAAGTAGATGGAGTAGCAAGCGGTTCTCCCCTAGGATCCCTCATTGTCGACTGCTTCATGGCTAGTTTAGAAAATAACTCCTTATCCACAACCATCGACGACCTTCATCTCTACAAGAGATACAATGATGATACTTTCATCATTTGTGATGAGAGCCATGATCTTAAAATAACCGACTTCAAATCTTCAGTGACGCCCACCCAAACATCGAGGCTGAATCCAACGGAATATTCAACCTCCTCGACGTCCATCTGACAAGAAACGCCAACAACTCTCTGAAAAGGTCCATAGACAAAAAGCCTACATGGAATGGACCCCATTCATCAATTTTCAAAGCTTCGTGCTCCTAATCAGAAAGAGGAACCTGATATACACTCTCTCTTCGAGGATTCGGAAGATATGCAGCGAGGAAGTGATTGAAGAAGAACTGCGTAATCTCCGAAAAACCCTGATGGAAAACGGTTTCCCTCCCAGGTTCATAGACAAGAATCTCAAAGCAAAGAAAACTTCTGAGCAAAGTCCAATCCGTTCCAAAGAAAATACTTCTGCTTAATCTAGAATTCAAAGGTGATAGTGAAGCAGAAATCCTTCTTAAACGCCTCTCCGAATCGCTATGGAAAACATACTTCGCCTCTAGCCTACCACTGACGTTTCCCTGAAAGAAACTGTTCAGCCAGAACGCGAAAGACAAACTGTCGCATTGGGCCACCTCAACATGCATATACCAGTTTCATTGCTCTTGCAGAGCTGAGTACATCGGCCGTACCATGCACCAACTTGAAAAACGCATTCGTGAACACTATCCAGCCTGGCTGGTAAAAGAGAAGATTGTTTGGATTTAGAATGACAATTGGGCAAGCGGAAACAATTCAAAGTGAGAATAAAAATAATAATAATCGTAGTAATAAGGGAAAAGTATATAGAATAACTAAAAAAACAAAATAAATAAATGTCTTTCCCTTTACAGACAAAGCAGAATTAGAGATTTTAAATACTTCTTTGGTACACAAAGGTCTGGCTTAAATTCATGATTGTCCAAGGCTTCCACTGTCTTTCGAATTCTATAACGAAGAAAACGCGGGAAGTCAGCATGGATTTGGTAGATGATCCTAAAATAATGGTCAGGATTGTTAGAGTCACAGGAGATTATCTGGCGTTTATCTGTAAAGAGTGATGGTTCGACATTTTCAAGTAGTGTCTTAACCAAAACAAAGTTATCTGTTTGTCTACTAATTCTTGGACTGCAGATTCTTAAGATCCTAGTCGTAAAGTGTTCCACTTGCGACTATATCATAGCCATCAGTTGGTTGTTTCATGTCCACTATCTTCACCATTGTATGGTTGTGTGTAACCGTATGTAGTGTAGTGCTATAGATGAACTATTCTCTAGATCTTGGAGCCTTTAAAACAAAACAATTTAGTTTATCTAATACGCTACCTGCAATGATTGTCAGTGAGGTGAAACCTAGCAGCAAAATCTAGATTGGTTGACCCAAATAAGATAAGAAATCTAGAGAATAGTTCAGCTATAGCAATCACCACATGCAGTTACACGCAACCATACAATAATGTGGTTTGGGACAGGATGACAGGTTTGAAATCTAATGCCACAGGATGGAGGGAGAGATTGATTACAACGGAATGAGGCTTTGTTTATCGAATCAACTGAGAGGGAATATGTGTAATAGGAATGATTCAACACCTGACCCCACCCAGATATCTGGAAAATTTTACTACCCCAACGACGACAAATAAGAGAGAACAAAGGAAACTATAGAACTCAAGTTTCGAAATTGTGTGATTATAATTGATTGATATGATTATGAACCACAATAAATTTTGTTCGAAACGTCATCCACTATATAATACTGTTTCACTGTGTGATACATCTAATAAACAAACTAATATGAAAAACTGAATATATATATATATATATATATATATATATAAACTAACCTCATCATTCACCAGTGTATGGTCTTCCTGTTCAGCCAATCCATCCGACGGATTAACATTTTCATATTCTTTGAAATGATTGTCAATTAAACTGTGTATTTTTTGCATTGTCAGCTTTACTTCCAAATTAGCCGATTCATGTGATATGATCCCGGATGTTGGAGGTGTATTTTCATTATTGGATTTATTGTCTGATGGAGTACCCCTCAGACGGCTACTGCCTAGGCTGCTTTGTAGTGCTAAAATTTTCTCTACTAACTCATCAAGATATTTATTTGGGAATTTTTTACTATTATGATTATTATAAAAAACTTTAAACTGATCGATTAATTGTTTGAAACCAGTTGTCCATGGAGTAGTAGTAGTAGTAGTAATAGATGATGTGGATGTTTTTGACGACGTCAAATATTGACGTCTTTTGAACAATCGTTTAACCTTTAAAAAGAAGAAAAGAGATATCAGGCAGTCAGCCAATCAGTACTCGTTCATTCCGAAAAAGATAGACAAAATTTCATGAAGGACTTCATCATAAGCTGACATCAGTTAGAGAATTATTGGAAAACCTGCCAGGGAGTACTGGACAGCTGTTTCATCCGCCTGGTTCGAGAGTCTTCAGCAGTACGCACCCACTTCAGGGGGTTCGAACCCAGGACCTTCTTGTAACCACTATCAATTAAATGTGACAAAATTGAGCCACGGGTTGTTTTTGTCTGTCTTTTGCCAAACCACAACGATGGGAGATGTTCACTAACACGTTGGCTGAGCTATCTAGTAGTAAGCCCAACAGCTGTCCTTGTAACCTAGAAGGCCCTGGGTTCAAACCCCGTATTGTGAGTGCGTACTGATGAAGAGGAGCCCCAAACTAGGCTGACGAAACAGCTGACTGTTCAGTACTCCCAGCTGGTTTACCAGCGGTTCTCTAACTGATGTCAGCTCATGGTGAAATCCTCCATCCAATCAAACAAAATCCCTACAAGACCAATACTTGAAAATTAATCTGATGCTCACTAGTGACTGACCCTATTCAGGTAGTTTACCTGGGGTTCTAGTGGGAAGCCATGACCAGTAGGGTACAGCAGGTTGAAGATGAGGCAGTAACTCACTCATCGAAGAAGACATTGAGAAGTGGTCGCGCTATGTCGTGAATTGGCAGAAGTTAGAATTCAAGGACCATTGGATCGAGTCCCAGTGGCTCAATGGTCTACGAGGACGCCTTGTAACCAGAAGGTCCTGGATTCGAACCCCGTAGTGTGAGTGCGTACTGATGAAGAACAGTCCCAAACTAGGCTGACGAAACAGCTGACTGTTCAGTACTCCCAGCTGGTTTACCAGCGGTTCTCTAACTGATGTCAGCTCATGGTGAAATCCTCCATCCAATCAAACAAATTCCCTAAAAAAACAATACTTGAAAATAGGCAAAATTTATCTACCTTTAAGAAAGAAACCTCACACAAAAAATGGTTAAAGTTCAAGTCAACAGAACAATCAGTTCCAATACAAGTAGTCGCCTAGAAGGTGTGAAAACACATAAAAGCAACCAGAGTCACGTTCAAGGTCAACCGCCCGGAGAGATGATTAATAAACTTGTGGAGAAATCTAAAAGATCACTTCAATTTAAAAATTGAAGTATGCGTTCTGAAGGTGTCGCCTAGTAGGGCAATCATGAAAGCTTAGCATATTAACTATCCGGCTAGCTCAGAGAACACAGCCACATCAAAAAATTCGTTCATTCTATAAATAATTCCAATGCTGGTGGTGACGGATAAGCTACTGAGTCTGCCCATCGCATCAATGTACACTTATAAATTTAACTGTCCGTATGGATAAAGTTACATAATAATAATAATAATAATAATAATTTACTTTATTCCAAAAACAGTACTTCTCATACAGAATGGAATTTTCAGCATTAATCACAATATTACTGCATCTAATTTCCTCAAATTATAAATAAAATTAATCACACAGAAAATTTTCCACATTTAAAATAGAGGTAGTGTCAAAAACATGCAGCATATAAAATGGAAATAACAATAATAATGATAACAGCTAGGGTAATAATAATAATACAAATGAAAATTGCCGTGGCTTGTTTCACACAGTATTGGCAATGTGGTATAGAAATCCTAACATGTTTAAAAATATTGAATATTATGTTCTGTTTACATTGTATGGTGAGGGAAAAACAAAGATTACAGCAGTCATAGAGATAAGTTGGTGTTTGCGATTATGAGAGTAAAACAAAAATGAAGCAACAGGACCATAAATATAATAGAAATAATAAAAGTAAAACTTGAAGGTATATAAGGATGGATGGAGGAAATTGTTTATTTACTAGATGAAAAAAGGTTAGTTAGTTCTTGACTGACACTATTTTCATCACATAAAATACGTTCCAAGTATGGTATTATAGAGCTGTAATACTTAGACGTGCGAGCATACAGTTTTCTGAAGTTATTTCTTGTTCTACCTGAGGAGATGCAAGGTGAAAGCTGAGGGTAAAGTGGATGCTCCAAGTCAGAAGACAAAATCCCTCTAGTAAATTTATTGCAAGAAGTCAAGTGCCTATCGACAACGATGTTAACTATGTGGTCCACTGGGACACCACTCACTCTACTGACCGTCTTCAGTATTCTACGAATTGTGACTGTAAGAGGAAGGGTTGAGGTATACCCGAGTGCCTTAACTTCTTAATGTAAAATGTAAATCATCAACGTACTTCACAAATTTAATAATTCCCATTGTAGCATTAAGAACACAATTTTCAGCGAAGAGACTCTTTTCAACGAATTTATTATCAAGCTGTACAATCGTATATATATGGTTTTATAAAGAAATTATATCCGGTGAGGGAATTAGGTCAAAGGTGTAAATACATGAAATAATAATAGTATGAAATAAATTTAAAATATTTGTGATTAGGTTCATAGTTTAAGTCAAGTGGAACAATAATTAATGTCATATATAAGATAATACATCAGGTGTATAGATTTGTAGTTCTGATTGCGTCGACTCAGAACTGGACTTCCTGAAAGCCACACTCGCAGAAAACGGTTACCCTAACCGATTTATTGACAGCAACATGAAAGATAAGCAGTCTAAGCTGGTCACTGACTCAGTTCCAAAGAAAACCCTATTCGTGAACTTGGAATTCAAAGGAGATCAAGCTTCTGATATGCTCAAAAATCGTCTTTCTAAATCAGTTAGTAAAACGTTCCCTGCAGCTAGATTACATATGACGTTCACGAGCCGCAAACTGTTCTCTACCTCTGTAAAAGATAAGCTCCCCCGTCTGGCCGCCTCCATGTGCATCTACCAGTTCACCTGCTCTTGTGGAGCAAGGTACATTGGCCGTAGTCAGAGAATGCTCTCCACACGGATACGAGAACATATTCCAGCTTGGTTTTACAAGGGAGAAAGGAAATGTGTGCGAAGCTCTATCTTAGAACACCTCATCGACTCCTGTCACGCGGTCAACCCTGACCATGATTTCAAGGTCTTATATAGAATTCATGCCAACTTCCCGCGTTTTCTTCGTTACAGACTTCTAAAGACAGCTGAGGCCTTGGCAATTCATGACTTTAAGCCAGACCTTTGTGTACAAAAGAAGTATGTACAATCCCTACTGCTGCCTTGGCCGTAGAGGGATAGACATTTATTTATTTTATTATTCTATGTACTTTTCCCTTATTACTTCGATTATTATTATTATTATTATCATTATTATTATTATCATTATTATTATTACGACTCTCATTCTGAATCTTTTCCACTTGATCTACTTGACATTTTAAACCAAAAATTATTCATGTGTATACTTTTTATCTTTATTTTTACAATATTAAATTCTATGTTATCAAATTTCACACCATGTTACGTAACATTTTACATTCGTCTATTAATCTTACAATTATATGCCTCTCCCCAAAATCTATACACCTGATGTATTATCTTATATATGACATTAATTATTGTTCCACTTGACTTAAACTATGAACCTAATCACAAATATTTTAAATTTATTTCATACTATTATTATTTCATGTATTTACGCCTTTGACCTAATTCCCTCACCGGATATAATTTCTTTATAAAACCATATATATACGATTGTACAGCTTGATAATAAATTCGTTGAAAAGAGTCTCTTCGCTGAAAATTGTGTTCTTAGTACTTCACAAAGTTTATTCTTCATCAGAGTGAGGCAAGTCATGCAAGAAGAAAGAAAAAAGAAGGATAGATAAAGTAGAATGACTCAGAAAGTCCACCGTCACATTTTTGAGCATTTTTTACAGTGTGGTTAGGTATCGAGGAGTTGTAAAGTCAATCGAAAGTTTCATACAGGCACATCGAGTGGATACAGAGCACAAAATTGATAAGAAAACTGCAGACCTGACAATTCTATACCATATGCCACTTCAACTTCCTAGCTTGGTACTTCTTCAGGCAGATGCTTTAAAGATCTTTCAACCTCCCTCCCTTCCTTGGTCTTCGCCCTCACACCCAAAATAGTAATCTCTCCCGGTGACACCAGATAAGTGTAAATACTACATTTTTATTTATCTTCAAACCAAGTTCAGTTTAAACAGTTTGAAAAATTTGAGAATTTAAGTAGTAGTGGTTCCCCTTTTTTTATTTAACTATTATTAATATAAACACAATTGGTACATAGCAATAATAGCTTTATTCCAAACAGTATTTGTGGTACAGGTATGGAATTTTCAGCCTGCATTACAATATATTGCATCTAGTTACCTCATAAATTTTATAAGATTTTAAAATCAAAAAGTAACACCCAAAAAAAAGAAGATAAATAAAAAGAAAAAGAAACAGCGTTGTGTTTACATTTTAAACAATGCACCACAGGATATGAAATATAAAGTTGATGTGTAAATGGAAGATGAGAACAACAGTGTAATAGTAACGAGGAAAGGAAAACAAAAACTAATGGGACTATTTGTTAGAGTGCCGCAGTAAGTTGATCGTGTCATACCTAACGGATTTCTCATCACGCACATAACAGCTGTGCCAGATATGGTATTGTGGAGTTTTTGTACTTGGTAGTCCTAGAATATAGCCAGCCTCCTATAGCTGCTTCTAGTTCTACCAGATGAAATGCAAGGAGACAGCTGCGTATAGAGAGGATGCTCGATGTCTGACAATATTGTATTCGCTAGTTTCTTACATGACATTATATGTCTATCCACAATAGTGTTAACCAGTTGGTTTAACGATATCCCACTTGCCCTACTAACGGCTTTTAGTGCCTGCCCTTCTCAGCAAAGCAAAGTCTTTCTTAAGTAGTCCAGGAAAGATTAATGGGGAGCAGTAAAAGGGGGATGGGTAGAATACAAGAATTTACAAACTGAGAAAGCAAAGACTGCTTTACAACAGACAGTCTAAATTTCCTAACACAGAACGTTAAGCGAAACATCTTTCTAGTAACTAGCAAGATGTGGGAGGACCAAGAAAGATCGGTGGAAAAGCTCAGCTCAAGGTACTTGACATTAGATGTATTTTCAACCTCTGTGCCGTCAATGATAGTGGGGCCATGTGAGCTAGCTAGTTCTTGTAGGTCACATTTACGTCTAAAAGTGAAATTGACTACCTGACATTTAGACGGATTTAGCTTAAGACCGTTTGAAGAGGACCACTGACTAATTTCCGATAGAAAGTTATTTAATTTAGAACAATCTGACTGAGAGTTGACAGGCATAGAAACAGAGAGGTCATCAGCATACTTAACAAAAGTGACTACATCAGAATGAGGCAAGTCATGTAAGAAAAAAGAAAACAGAAAAGGAGAAAGAACAGCACCTTGAGGAACACCAGCTAAAGTAAGTGAGGCAGTGGAGGACTTTTTATTGTAGATGGAGTACTGCTTTCTATCAGAAAAATAGGAATGAGCCACTTATTTGTCCAGCTGTCAGCCTGTGTTGCAGCAAGTTTACTTAGCAATACAGACCTGCGAACAGAGTCAAATGCAGATGTGTAATCAAGGAAGGCACAGCGAACGTATTTACCTCCTTTATCTAAACTAGAGACTATGCTATGATGTAGGAGAACAGCGGCATCTAAGCTACACCTACTATGTTTATAAGCAAACTGGTTGGGGTCATTGAAAGGCTTTAAAGAGGGTTCAAGATTAAGTAAAATAAGTCTTTCCATAACTTTCAAATAAGGTGAGGTAATAGCAACGGTATTTCGCTATTTAATGCTGCTGCTAATAGCTTTATCAAAGTAGTAGTATTATTACACCAGAATTTACAAAATCCACTCAGCTTATGTACATAACAACTTAATCATCGTTCCTCAGCATGAGGGAATTTTCACGTGTTTGTCATGTTGGCCAATTGGTAAGGATAACAAAACCAGGTGTGTAGATTGTAGGATTTGATAAGTGTATAAAATTATAGAAAAACAGCGTGTGTTCACATAATGAAATTGCTCATCACATTCATGTTGACTTTGTCACTTCATGGAGGAGGCGGGTTGTGTATGTTGTAACCAGATCAAATTCTGTTTTTAGTCCATCATTCAGACTATTCAGACAATTTGGATTCCATTTGATGATCTGAAGTGCTTCTGATTGATGTTAGACGTTCTTTAAGATTTCTGAAATGCTTTTTCTGGATGACGATTTCAATATTGTCAAAATTAATTTTGTCGCCTGATTCTGTAGCGTCGCGTGTAGACGACCTATGGCTGATGGTTTTTCAAGCTTTTCTAGTTCACTAATTGGATTTCTCGTGGTCGAACAGAGGCTCACTCTACGGTGTTCTTTTCTGCTGATTTTGATTGCCATCTAACGAGTTTTGTCCAATGTAGATCGTATCACATTTCAAGCGTTTTATTTTATAGACACAATTAGATTGAGAACTTTTAGGTATTTGGTCTTTTATATATGGACAAGGTTGTTTTACAGTGTGTCTGATGTTTTGAAGAAAACTCTAATATCTAGCTTATTGAGTACTCTTGTGATATCGTCTGACGTCTCTGCTCTATATGGAATGATGACTTTTGAGGTCCATGTTTTCGGAATATGTTTTCAACTATACCTTAATGTCAGCGTTGATTTTGTTGATGAAGTTCGTTGGGTAGTTGTTTTGCTTGATAGTTTCAGTGATGTTTGATATTTCTTCTTCTTTTTCTTGCTCATCCGTTAACATCAAAGATATCAAAGCAAGGATCGGGTAAGCAAGACAAGCTTTCATTACTCTCAACTCTGTGTGGAGATCAACAGCACTCAACATCAAAAATAAGATCCAGATTTTCAACTCCAATGTGAAGTCAGTGCTACTCACCATATGGATCAGAGACTTGGCGCCACGTCATAAAGAGCACCTCAAACAAACTACAGACCTTCATCAACAGCTGTCTACGCTCAATACTCAAGATCAGATGGACGGCCAGAAAAGATCACCAACAGGGATCTCTGGCAATGAGCGAACCAACCCGTCAGGAACCGATTGTGCAACAAATAGGCAGGAAGATGGATTGGCCATACTCTGAGGAAACCATCAAGTGACATCACTAGACAGGCCGTCGCTCGAATGGAACCTGAAAGGGAGGCGGCGAGTTGGTCGTCCCACGGTGGGATGACTCGGAGGAGGTCATGCGAAGAGGAGATGAAAGCATGTGGGTAAACTTGGAGCTAGGTGAAAACTCTAGCAGAGAACCGAACGCAATGGAGACGCGCGGCTGAAGCCCTATGTTCCTCTAGGAATTAAAGGAATTAATAATATTAACAACATCAAATAGTTTGCTCGTCAGTAAAAACAACGACAATATCGTTTTGTCCTTTTCATTCATTGGAAAATACAAAAAAACAAACCTTTATTATAACGAATATCGCATATACCCAATGATCAAATTTTTTCAAACTGCTAAAAGTGAACTTGCTTTGGACGTATACAGTCAATGAGTAATATTTCATTTCATAAGGGGAGCTAAATATGTGTTGTTAGAGTTACGCAATAAGGTATTCCTTAAGAGTGCCGGGGGTGGGGTGGGGTGGGGTGATTTCATCATCAATTGCGGAAGAACATTCTTTACAGTCAACGCTAAAAGTAGTGTTCTCTAGTCGTCTATTGGTCTGAAGAAGCCTGAATGATGACATCACTCGCTTCTGACCACTTCTATGTGCATATATCAGTTCACCTATGCTTATCTAAGAAACCAAGTATAAGTGTCTATTGTTGTGTATCTTCTTTAGAAGGCTTCAAGAAGGTTGAAGCACTGTAACGACAGAAGAAAAGAGCCTAGTGGTCATGTGCGTCGGTGGCACAGTGGTTGGGACCCTCGCCGACCATCCACATGGTCCGAGGTTCGATTCCCTGCCGACGAAGCACACCTGATATCTATGGTCAGCCTCCAAAATTTGGGCTACCGATATCACATGCTGTAAATTCCATACTTGTACCGAAAAATACAGTGTGGAATCAAGGTGTGGTCAAAAATTATTTAAAAAATATCGTGAATTAATAAAAGTTTGAAATCATGGGATATCCATTGGATCATGTCGTAGTAGTCTAATGATCTATGAGCTCGTCTGGTAACTGGAAGGTCATGAGTTCAGATCCCGGTGAGTGCGTACTGATTTAGAGCCCTAAAACGAGGCTGAAGAGGTGGCTGTTTAATACTCCCAGCTAGTTTTCAATGGTCCGCCAACTGATGTCAGCTCAGAATTTTCATCCTCTAACGTAAATTGTAGATAATTGCCTCTGTACTACTGCGATGAATCAGATTTCTGAAATGAACCTCGTTGTTCCCTCACGTAGTTTGATTTTTCTAAATGTCCCCGTGAAAACTTTCCATGAATTACAAGGTCGTCTAGATCGTTCCATAGTAGGAGTACAACAACAGAAGACAACGGCCAGGAAACACATCGGTTATTGAGAAAATCAACAGATATTTATAGATTTTTCACGTGAATTATTATTAACGGAGAAGCAACGTCTTCTGATTGTTTGTTTTCTTGCTGAAGGTTATTCTGTCATCTCTTTGTGACCATTTCTCAGAAAATCAAGTCATCATATATCTGTGAATCATATTTGAACACTTTAACTCCGCTGTGATTGGCTGGTAATTTCTCAAGGTTAGGCTTAGTTAATGTGTTTTTTCTCATGACCTTGATTCGAGGTGTGAACACTGACACGTAAATTGTTGTTTACAATTTTGGCGGGCAGACAGCTCTCACCGCAGTATTACCCCCCATAAGGAGTGTGATAATCGAACATCTTCTAAACAACACTGGTCATTCTATGTCAACAAACGCCTCCTCCCTCAAAGTAATCTACAAAGTTAGGAACAGTCTACCGAAGAGAATGCACTTTCGTCTCCTTTCCATTACTGAAGCTTTAGTTATTCAGTTAGAGAAATCGGAGACTTTCGTCTTTCGACTATTATTATACATTATCAAAACACATACATTTTAAGTGTTGGTTCGTAGTGATTTCATTGGCTACAGGATGATGAGATGCTCACTGGCGGCGACTGGCCCTATTCAGGTAGGTAGTTACCTGGGGTTCTAGTGGGAAGTCGTGGCCAGTAGGGTTCAGCAGGTTAGGTGTGACAGCAAATACTCACCGAAGACATTGGATAGGGGTAGCGCTATGTTGTGAATTGGCAGAAGTTAGAATTAATGCACTGGCCATTGGATCGGGTCCCAGTGGCTTAATGGTATACGAGCTCGCCTCGTAACTAGATTTGAGTTCGAAACCTAGTGCACTGGGTGCGTATTGCTGAAGAGTCCCGAACTAGGACTAAACAGTTGTCCAGTACTTACATACATTTTAATTTTGTAGAGTTGGTGTTTGTAGGGATTAAATTTTTTTCAACTTTTAACATGAATCGACATCAGTCAGAGAACCACCGAAAACCATCAGAGAGTACTGAACAGTTATTACGTCTTAGTTTGGGATTCTTCGGTTATCAGCACTCACGACTCCACTACCCAGGACTTTCAGTTATGAGGCTATGGTTGTTGACCAGTAAGTCACTTGGGTTGGAATCCCGCAGCTCATGAATTCTAACTTCTATGAATCCGCAATTTTAGCACAACAGTCGGCCGATGCGATTGATGACCACTTGTATCTACAGCCAACCTGGTGGGAACTCCCAACTGGTTACAACTTTTCACTTTTCAGATAATTATGAAATATTGTAGCTGCTAGCCAAATTGGTAGACAGTAATTTACGTCAATATTTATGTCGGCAATATTGGTCGTGAGAAAGTATGAACAAGACTGATTCAACAACCAATCCCATTGCTTGATTGATTGAAGGATTTCATCATTTTATTTTGATTACAGCTTGATTCCACACTGTATTTTTGGTACAAATATGGAATTTACAGCATGTGATATCTGTAGCCCAAATTTTGCAGGCCGACCATAGATATCAGATGTGCTTCGTCGGCAGGGAATCGAACCTCGGACCATGTGCATGGTCAGCGAGAGTCCTAATCACTGCGCCACCGACGCTGATATCAGTCGGAAAACCATTGGAAAATGAACCACTGAATGTAGTTGGGGACTCTTCAGCAGTACGCACCCACCGGGGTTCGAACCCAGGACCTTCCGGTTACAAGGCGAGCTCACAGACATAGCGAAGTGGTCGCGCTGTCATGAATTGGCAGAAGTTATGATCCAAGGACCATTGGATCGGGTCCCAGTGGCTCAATGGTCTACGATTTAGCTCGCCTTGTAACCAGAAGGTCCTCGGTTCGAACCCTGGTGGGCGTATACTGCTGAAGAGTCCCAAACTAGGCTGACGAAACAGCTGACTGTTCAGTACTCCCAGCTGGTTTACCAGTGGTTCTCTAACTGATGTCAGCTCATGGTGAAATCCCCCAAGCAATCGAAAAGAGAAAACACGTTAGTTACATAAGGGCTAAATAATTTCCTTGAGTAGAGGATGAACAACCATTTATGTGATAGAGAGAAATCAGTTGAAGATCAATAATCCTCTTCGAAATACATCTGAATCACTGGAATTAAACTGAAGTCGTGTTACCAACAGTCTCCAGTCAACGATTTTACGCTCACCCCCCTCTTATGGATTGTGCCGTGTTTTCGACTGATCACACTTATCTCTATTCTAACCTAGACTTATTTCAGGTGACACCAGTCGTCATGATTGGCAGGAAGTAGTTCAGTATACCTTGGTCATTCCAATCTATATAATCACATCGACTAACTATTTATGATAATATTTGACCATATTAGTAAGCATAACTATACTAGCATGATGGCTAGGCGTTAACGCGAGTGAGAAATGTTGCAAATTAAGCTACTCTTAACAGTATAGTAGTCGCAGTCAAGGGTGAGTCAGGCAGGGAGATGCAGACTCCCGGGTTGGGGCCCCCGGGACTGACTCTAGGAATCAATGGCTGGAGACAATAGGTGACATGGTTCAAAATCGTTGTCAATGTATTCAGTTTCTGTAATCTTTCATATTCCTTTCTACCATTACCCATTCTGTTTCACTCTTATACTTGTCAGACTGTATTGATTCTCTTCACTCATCTTCTTGTCTACCTCTGTGTGCTATTTGGAAGGTGGCAACTCGAAGTGCTGCACTTCGGTGCCAAGTTCTATGTTGAATCCAGATAGACAGACAGACAGTGAGGCTAGTTTGAACCAGCCACATGGGGAGGTTAGCAATAGAGCCCAAAATTGTTCTCACAATAATGCAGATACATTCTTACTCTTAGCGACCTCCCGTACATAATATATGGCATATTGCTATTCTTTCTTCCACACATTTCCTTTACTATAGTAGTCTTGGATCCCATTTTTTCTGTCACTCTTGTCTACCTGAGTGTGCTACACGGAATATGGCAATTTAATCCATATTACACTTCTGTGTAAAGTATCCTGTTGACATCCAATTAATTAGTTAGTTAGCACAACTGGGAGTTTACCAGGGATAAAAAAAAAACCTAGAAGATGCATTTTACGAAGGCAGTGACCACTCAATATCCACGGACAAGAAGTAAATGACCCATGAATTCTAACTTCTGTCAGTTTGTGGGATATAACACTTATTTTCTTAATTTTTGTATTATTCCCTTGGGTTCTGAGTGGAACATAGGGTCTCAACAATATACATCTCCACTTTCTTCTATTCCCTGCTGTCCTCACCAGCTGATCCCCCCCCCCGATTACCCATAATCTCTCATCTCCTCCTCCCTACACGACAACCCCCACTGGTCGATCCCTATTCCATTGGGATTCCAATCGAGAAATGGCCTGCATTCAGCGTGATGTCATTCGAAGACTTCCTTCCTCAATGTGTGCCCAACCGACCCATTTCCATTTTCCCCTACATATTTGTTGAGCAATCGGTTCTCGGCTGTTGGTTAGGGTGGTTCCATTGCAGAGTTCCTTGTTGCCAGTTGTTTCTAGCCAGCCAGCTGACTGGTCTTTTTGATAATGACTATGGAGCCAGCCATTGATAAAAGTCTGCAGTAGCTTGTTGGAGATGCTGGTCAAGTTTCTGACCCGTATAGAGGAACTGGCTGACTGACTTCACTGATCTTTGTGTTGAACAGAACCCGAATCTTGTTGTTTATGCTGCCGAGTGAGTAAGTGTAGAAGATTTCCAAAATGGTTTCAGGTTGATGAGATAATGCTCTTTTTGAAGCAGTTTGATTGGTCTTTTGGTGCAGGGTCGCTAGACCCACGCCCAGTCCTCCCTCTTTATCCCCGGACCAAGGGACGGACTAGAAAACTATCGAGCTAGCAAAAAACTTGGCGAGGTCATGGATATAATACTACCATCACAGTCAATGCCTCTTCACAATGACCATCCCACTTTACAGTTTGACAATGTGAGGATTCTTATTCAGATGGTAGTAAGTGAGCACACCGCTGAATATTAGCAACGCATCAAACCTTCTAAATCTTTGGAGAAAGCGCTGGTGCATGTCAAAGATATGGTTCCCAAAATGTCACAAAGTAATTGTGTCTACAGGATAAAGTGTTCAGAATGTGATGCATGCTATATACGTGGGACGGTAGTAGAGCCAGGTGAAGGTCAACAAGTGAACGAACATAGTCTATGCACAAAACATCCCCGCATAGAAATGAAGTAGAATTAAAAAGTCTAGAAAAATAAAAAGATCGGCTATAGCAATGCATGCGACAGGCAGGCAGAGATTGATTTCGACAATGTCGAAATTCGTGGGAGAAGATTTCATTCAACACATAAAGAAAGATTGACTTTCGAAGCCTGGAACATTTTAACCACATCGAATACAGTGAATAGGTAGGAAAGAAGGGAGAGACTTATCACCACCTATATGGAAAACTCTTATGAAGCAAGACAGATGAAAAAAGCAACAAACACTCTATGAGTCTTCATGACGTTTTAAAAATATGTAGTATCATGTTTATCACATATGAATTCACGTATTTTCCATATGACAAATAACAGCCATACACACAAACACACACTCATACAAAACTAATCTTTACAAATCAACTAAAGAAGAGTGAACACAACAATTTGACGATAGTCATTACATATATATGTATGGAGGATTCCACCATGAGCCGACATCAGTTAGAGAATCACTGTAAGACCAGCTGGAAGTAAAGGACAGCAGTTTCGTCCTAGTTTCGGGCTCTTCGTCAGTACGCACCCATCGGGATTCGAACCCGGACTTTCTGGTTACAAGGCGAGCCCGTAGACAACTCAGCCACTGGGACCCGATCCGAAAAAATACGTTGCACTGATTAAGGTACTCTACTCGTACTCATACAACCAGGTGAGGGATTACGGCGAGTTGTCATCTGGAGTGGTGACGACTAGTGGTGTCCGTCAAGAATACCCATTATCCCCATTTCTATTCAACTTCATCATAGATGTACTAATGGACGTAACCCTGACTGACCTCAGCGACTCACGGATTGACTTCCTACCAGGGAATAATAGTCTCGTTGACTTAGAATATGCAGATGATGGCATACTCCTTCTAGGCGAGGACGCTGATAGAATAGAGCAGAGTCTTCTAAACATCTTCAGCTGCAATCTTCGAATGTTTGGCATGCGAGCGACTCGCTCCCGCCAAATGCAAGATGATGTTACAGGACTGGACTACACTGACTCCTAGTTTAGAAATATGCAGGAGTGAAGTGGTAGAGCACGTCGACGGCTTCACTTATTTCGGAAGTACCATCAGCCAGTCCCAACGGGTTGATCTCTGACGAAATCTCAGCACGTATACAGGGGGCTCGTTTCGCATACGACCCCTAGTTTACGCCGTCTCTGGCAGAGATGTGATATCCGACTGGCTATCAACCAAAGGGCGTGTGAACTGCTCATCAGTCCGCTCCGTCCTCATTTATGGCTGTGAGTGAGACCTGGCCACTGAAAGTGGAAGACATGAAAAGGCTGGTTAGCTGGCTTCGATCATAGGTGCCTTTGTTCTATCTCCTGTGTGAAGTGGTATAATAAGGCGAGCAATATTGAGATTAGTTCTCGGTGGAGTGCTAGGTAGGTGGGAGGGGAAATCAATCGACGAGGTTGTGAAGTGACAAAGACTGAGATGGGTAGGACATGTGTTACGTATGCATGACTAGTCATCGCCTTCCTCGACATTGGGGGGGGCAATGTTAGCGGATATAGGATCAGGCTGGAAAACAGCTAGCGGAGGTCAAACAAAAACATGGCTTCACCAGTCAATGAAATGTACAACAGTTAGTCTAAGCCATGTAGGAAGGTGTAGACTTCCTGACTGTCTAGTTGGGGTGTTGAGGACGGTAAAAATCAATGGTTGGAAACAATTGGTGACATGGCTCAAAGTGATAGTTCTCAATGGCTGACTAGCTTGTGCAGATGCATCCACTCCTTGTGACTTATGATCTCCACCAATGAAACTGTTTTGTTCTTCGTTATTACTCTTCCTTTGTCTCACACCTATGGTTACTGTCTCTCTCTATTATGCATTTCTTGTACTTTCTTCTCTTGCTTCGCGTGCTACATGGAGGGAGTGTGGCGACTTGAACTGGTTCACATATGTGCAAAGTTCTGTGTCGAAAGCATACAGACAGACCCGATCCAATGGTTCTTGAATTCTAACTGCTGCCAGTTCACGACATAGCGCGACCACTTCGCAATGTCTTCTTGGATCGGGTCCCAGTGGTTCAATGGTCTACGAGTTAGCTCGCCTTGTAACCAGAAAGTCCTGGGTTCGAACTTCGGTGGGTCCGTACTGATGAAGAGTCCCAAACTAGGATGAAACAGCTGTCCAGAACCCCCAGCTGGTTTTCCAGTGGTTCTCTAACTGATGTAAGCGCATGGTGAAATCCTCCATGCAATCAAACAAAATCCTTACAAAATCAATGCTTGACAAATATATGTGATGCCCGCTTACATATTTCTATTGGTAAAAATGTCCATGGATAAATGACCTTCCAATAAACTGACTTCAATTTATGTAAAAAACATTTTTTGACTATATATTGTGATGATCAATAAAAATCCGAATAAATCTGATGAAGAAGCTGTGATGGCTTATAAAGCGAAACGTTCAGAAAACAGATCTTGTTTTGATTGTTTCTTAAACACTCTGGGATTAATTTAGATATAATTTATAATGAAACATCTCTACATCAAAACAGCTGTACAAAGCTGTAGCCTCAGCTTTCAATGATCTCTAAGCGAAACTTGTCTCACAATTAAAACCTATTGCTACACACATCATCAAGCATAAACTGACAACTCAGGTGAATAAAAAAAATAAGCCCAGTAAAGGGACTGAAGAGAATTATACACAGACAGACAAGCGGACAGACGAACAAGTGGACACTAAGAAAAACAATCATTTCTCACCAGTAAACAAGACTTTATTGTATAAATGTGTGTATTATATATATATATATATATATATATATATATATTACAAAACAGTACAAGTAATAATAATAACAATAACATGAAGAAGGTTACATAATGTAAGAAAAACACGCAACTAGTTAGGCAATTTGTAATCCACACAGATAGAGGAGGAGGCGAAATCGCACTATAGTTCATCCTTTTGGCGACCAAGTTATTGTGCATATCACCTCATGAACTATGCGTAGATTACAAATTGCTAACCAATATATACCAATGGGTGAATCTCATTTAGGATAAGGACAAGTTTGATAGACCAAGTAGCCAAAGCTAAACCGTAAAAATTCAGTGGCTTGAACACTGATTTGCTAATCTGAGCTGTACAGCTCAGGGTCCTAAACAACCGAAACCGACCAGTGGTGATGGCATGTTCAAATTACCCCGATCTAGTTGACCAGGTAGCCAGTCAGGTAGCACTACTACAATTGGGTACGTTGGTTGTCTTGGAAAACTTTACATATATGAGTTCCCTTTTTTTTGCGAAAATAAAGGAATAGATACGATCATAAAAAGATTCTTAAATGAGACAAAAAAAGACGAAGAAGGCAGGAAGAAAGCAATGCTGATCGAAGAAAGGTGCATATACATATGAGTATTTTAAAAAATCATAGTAATAATAAACAACATTTGCCAATGGATGAACAGTCTTCACATAGGGAGGCATCTATACGGCATCCACGGACTGTTGAATTTTCAATGCAGTATGTCTTTATTATTATTATTATTATTAATCACACTCAATAAGGATGAGATCGTCATCATCAGAGTCGACATTGACTATCGGTACAGTCTCATTAAGCGACGACAATAAAGCGTCATCATCAACATCAACGTTGGTATCCAGTTTTGCCTTTTTGATTTGACGATTATCTCTAGTCGGCTCATCAGGCTGGAATTTACGCTTTACACTGCTGCCTTTAAAAATTTGATCTTCTGATGATGGTGATCGTCGGGTTTGTGGTAGGTCCGTAGATTCCTCGTCGATGATTTCAATGATATCGGAGTCTGTCTCCTTGTCCTCATTGATACTGGTGTTGACATCATCCTTGCGATTCGACAACGCTAGACAACACAATAATAACAAAAAAGCACAATTAATATGAACTGTGATCAAGATTTTGACCGAATATAATTAGAAAATAATTGAGCATTGAGTGAGAAGTAGACATTTGTAAAAATTATATCTGTATGAATCTCAGAGAAATTGAAATGTTTTTATGAGTTGATCACGGATTGGTATCAGTTAACAGAACCATTGAAAATCAACCAGGGAGTACTACTGAACAGCTGTTTGCTCCATCCTAGTTTGAGAATCATAGGCCGTACGCACCCATATCACAAGGGTTTCGAACCCACGACCTTCCGGTTACAAGGCGAAGTTGTTCGCTAACTTCTACCAATTCGTGATTTAGTGCGACTGGCACCAACACCAATGTCGTTGGTGGGACATCCATCCATACACGTGACATCACTGGTCACGATGACTTCTCACTAGAACTCCAGGAAACTCCATCCTGTAGCAAGTCACTAGTGAGTATCAGATTAATTTTCTATAGTTTCCTTTGTAAGGGTTAGTTATGTTTTTACGAATTGGTAGAAGTTAGAATTCATGAGTCGTTGAATCGGGTCCCAGTGGCTGAATGGTATACAAGCTAGCTCGCCTTGTAACCGGATGGTCCGAGGTTCGAATCCCAGTGAGTGCGTACTGCCGATGATTCCCAGCTGTCCAGTACTCCCTGGTTTTCAATGGTTCTCTAACTGATATATCAATCCGTGATCAACTCATAAAAAACATAACTAACCCTTACAAACCAAATTATAGAAATTGAAATGATTTATTTCAACGTTTAGTTCAATTTAGATTTCGCCGTCGATTGATTCGACAGAAGTGCTCGGTCTCAGGTTGACATCCACCATACGACTTCAAGTTACATGATCAGTTATCATCGAGGCATCCGCACTAGGACCCGACATATCGACCTGAGACTGAGCACTTTAGTCCGATCAATCGACGGGAAAATCTGCATTGAATTAAATAATTAACAAGACTCGTTGAACAAGAGGTGGTTCCTGTGGCCCAAGTGGTCTAGTGGATAACGCTTGGACTTTTGAAACTAATGGCACTGGGTTCGAGCCTCGGTGGGAACACTATCACTCACTGGGGAATGCAGGTACGTCCAGAGGATGAGTCCCAAATAGGACTGGACCCCACTGCTGGTCATCATCTACTAACTGATTTAAAATCCCAACGTTTGCGTTCGGCGATCTCGTCCGAACGTCATCAAGGAAATTAATCGAAATTAAAATAATAGAGGGTTTATATCATATAAAAAGGACATCTCTTGTTTTTTTTAAACTTTGTCCAATCCTATGAGTCATGAAACAGGTATCAACATGTATAATAAACAAAGAAAACTGCATGAACTGTGATCAAAATGTTTGACCTCAGACTTACAAATATTAGTCTACTTTTTGTTCGGTTAAAGTTCATGGATATAGATAACTGATTATGAAAAGTATATATGTACATGTGGTATACAGTAATGTATATGCATGTATGTGTGTGGGTTAACAGATGTAAAACATTTCTTAACGTCTCCATAAGAAGAAAGAGACAATCGGGAATTTTGACCAAGTATGACTAATTGTTGACATATATATCCAATTTTTATTTATTTATTTATTAATCAGGATTTGCCATGCATCAGTCCGACATCACATCTTCAAGTCTGTTCAAACTGTTGGGATTCACATATATATGCAAGGCCTCTGCAGTCAGTCTTTCTTTATATGAATCAAAACCTTTCTGTAGAAACTTAGTCTTATCAAAGTTGATTTTGTGTCCCGTTTCTATCGAGTGCAGTGCAAACACCGACCTGTTTTTGCTAGCTTCTTCAAGTCTGCAGAAGTCCTCAAAGAAACCACCACCTTTAGACATTGTTTATGTGTTCCTTCACAATTTGATATTTACCTGTCTGGAAGTTTCTCCTACATATACATATACAAGCAAAGTCACAATCCACACAATTGAGCTGGTACACAAAAATTCTATTGATTTTACTTCTTCTATTTTATTCTTAACCTTTACACTAGTGATGAGTGTAAGGTGTCCGTTGCAGTTATAAACCAGTAGTCATAAGACTGTCTGTCTGTCTGCTTTCGACATAGACCTTTGCACATATGTGCACCAGTTCAAGTCGCCACACTCCCTCCATGTAGCACATAAACCAAGAGAAGAAAGTACAAGAAATGAGACAGTAAGCAGAGGTGTGAGACAAAGGAAGAGTAATAACGAAGAACAAAACAATTTCATCGGAAATCATAAGTCACAAGGAGTGGATGCATCTGCGCCAATGAGATAGATTTTGAGCCATATCACCAATTGTCTCCAGCCATCATTGGTTTTTACGGTCCCGACGACCCCAACCAGGAAGTCTACACCTTCCTACGTGGCTTAGACTAACTGTTGTACATTTCATTGACTGGTGAAGCCATGTTTTTGTTTGACCTCCGCTAGCTGTTTTCCAGCCTGACCTTATATCCGCTAACATTGCCCCCCCCATGTCGAGGAAGGCGATGACTAGTCATGCATACGTAGCACATGTCCTAACCATCTCAGTCTATGTAACTTCACAACCTCGTCGATTGATTTCCCGTCCCACCTACCTAGCACTCCACCGAGACCTAACCTCAATATTGCTCACCTCATTATACCTACCACTTCACACGGGAGATAGAGAGTGAGGCACCTATGATCAAAGACAGCTAACCAGCCTTTTGATGTCTTCCACTCTCAATGACCAGGTCTCACTCACACCCATAAAGGAGGACGGAGCGGACTGATGAGCAGTTCACACGCCCTTTGGTTGATAGCCAGTCGGATATCACATCTATGCCAGAGACGGCGTAAACTAGCGGTCGTATGCGAAACGAGCCCCCTGTATCAGTGCTGAGATTTCGTCAGAGATCAACCCGTTGGCACTTGCTGATGGTACTTCCCAAATAAGTGAAGCGGTCGACGTGCTCTACCACTTCACTCCTGCATATTTCTAAACTAGGAGTCAGTGTAGTCCAGTCCTGTAACATCATCTTGCATTTGGCGGGAGCGAATCGCATGCCAAACATTCGTAGATTGCAGCTGAAGATGTTTAGAAGACTCTGCTCTATTTTGTCAGCGTCCTCGCCTAGAAGGACTATGCCATCATCTGCATATTCCAAGTCAACGAGACCATTATTCCCTGGTAGGATCCCTGAGTCGCTGAAGTCACTTTGGGTTACGTCCATTAGTACATCTATGATGAAGTTGAATAGAAATGGGGATAATGGGCATTCCTGACGGACACCACTAGTCGTCACCACTTCAGATGACAACTCGCCGTAATCCCTCACCTGGTTGTATGAGTACGAGTAGAGTACCTTAATCAGTGCAACGTATTTTCTCGGAATTCCCTTTACAGCCAAGCATCTTCAGAGAACCTCTCGGTCGACAGAATCGACTGCCGGCTTCAGGTCAAGAAATATAACGACTGTTGAACATCGGTAGGAATGACTATGTTCTAGAATCTGTCATAAGACTGGTAAAGAGGAAAGGTTAGGCATGAGGCTAGCTAGGAATACCCTCCTGTAAAAATAAACCCCAAGGCTATCGAAACTTCTAAGCTCATGCTCGAAGCCCCCATGTTTCAGCACTGGGGATGTGAAGGAATATTTGAAAAAATAATCAAATACCATGTAATCAATGTTGGTGAGGTCAATTACATGGGGATGAAACTAGTAGATCGGGGTCAACTAGATTAGTGGAACATAAAAATTTAGCTCCGCCTGTATATGTCCAAACCAAGTTCACTTTGAACAGTTTGAAAAAATTTGGGTATTGCGTATATGATATTCATTATAATAAAGGTTTTTGCATTTCCCAATGAATGAATGAAAAACAAAACGATATTGTTTTTTACTGACATTTCGCTATTTAATGCTAAAAGCTTTATCAAAGTATTATTAAACTGGAATTTACAAAATTTCAGACATTAGGTAGGGCCAAAAACGCATTCCGAAAACATGGACATCAACAGTTGTCATTCCATATAGAGCAGAGGACGTCAGACGATATCAAAAGAGTATTTAATCAGCTCAATATTAGTTTTCTTCAAAACAGCCGACATGCACACTGCGAAACAACCTTGTCCATATAAAAGACCAAATCCCTAAAGATTCTCTATCTAATTGTGTCTATAAAATAAAATGCTTGGAATGTGTGATGTGATATACATCGGACAAACATCTCGAGAAATCAAAATTAGAAGAAATGAACAGCGTAGAGCATCTGTTCGAACACCAAGAAATCCAGTTAGTGAACTAGAAAAGCTTGAAAAATCATCAGCCATTAGTCTACACACGACGCTACAGAATCAGGCTACAAAATTGATTTTGACAATATTGAAATCACCATCCAGAAAAAGCATTTCAGAAATCACAAAGAACCTCTAATGTCATAAGAAGCCCTTCGTATCAAGTGGAATCCAAACTGCCTGAATAGGAATGATGAACGAAAACAGAATCTGACCTGGCTACAACACCCACCCTAACTCCCCATGAAGTGACAAAATCAACACGAATATGATATGCAAGTTCACTATGTAAACACACACTGCTTTTATAATTTTACACACTGATCAAATCGAACAATCTACACACCTGGTTTTGTTATCTTTACCAACTGACCAACTTGACAACGAAAAATGACCCCAGACAGACGAACGATGATCAAGTTAGTTAACTTTGTTTTGATGTCATAACAGATGTACAGTGTTACCTCCTGTTATTTGGTTTAGTGATTGATCTTCATTGTTATTTTGACTTTCAATATATCCTCCTTTTAACTTGACCTAACTTGTCTATTTTCTCACCCCTTAACTCTTTGTTATATATATATATATATATGCTGAGATTTTGTAAATTTCGGCTTAATAATACTTCGATGAAGCTATTGGCATTAAATAGCGAAACGTCAGTAAAAACAACGACAGTATCGTTTTGTTTTTCATTCATTCATTGGGAAATACAAAAGAACAACCTTTATTATAATGAATTAGCTAGACTTGGAATAATTGACCCTGCTCAATAAGTTAAATAACCTAGGAAAAAGCATAGCTCAGCCATTGAACTACACTACATTCACTTGTTCGACTATCGACCAAAGGGCGGGTGTACTGCTCATCAGTCCGCTCCGTCCTCATTTATGGCCAGCTGTGAGACCTGGCCACTGAAAGTGGAAGACATGAAAAGGCTGGTTAGCTGTCTTTGATCATAGGTGCCTCACTCTCTATCTCCCGTGTGAATTGGTATAATAAGGTGAGCAATATTGAGATTAGTTCTCGGTGGAGTTCTAGGTAGGTGGGAGGGGAAATCAATCGACGAAGTTGTGAAGTTACAAAGACTGAGATGGGTAGGACATGTGTTACGTATGCATGACTAGTCATCGCCTTCCTCGACAGTGGGGGGGGGCAATGTTAGCGGATATAGGTCAGGCTGGAAAAAAGCTAGCGGCGGTCAAACGAAAACATGGCTTCAACAGTCAATGAAATCTACAACAGTTAGTCTAAGCCACGTAGGAAGGTGTAGACTTCCAGGCTGGGGTCGTCGGGACGTAAAAACCAATGATGGCTGGAGACAATTGGTGATATGGCTCAAAATCGTTCTCATTGGCGCAGATGCATCCACTCCTTGTGACTTATGATCTCCAATGAAACTGTTTTGTTTTTCTTTATTACTCTTCCTTTGTCTCACACCTCTGCTCACTGTTTCTATTATGCTTTTCTTGTACTTTCTTCTCTTGCTTCGCGTGCTACACTGAGTGTGGCGACTTGAACTTCCGCACATTTGTGCAAAGTTCTATGTCGAAAACAGACAGAAGACAGACAAACATTCACTTGCATGTAATCACAAAATACGGTGGGTGGGACAGGATGAGAGTATTAAAAAGTAATATAGTTAAGTAGAGTAAGAGAGAGAAAGGCAGAGATTAATCGCTGAATTCATGTTTATCGATTCAACACCGCATTAGTTCAATCAAAATGACTAAATGCTGATACCGGAGATATGGAGAGATGGCAACAAGCAGCAAGAAGAAGGATAGAAAGAGAAAACATGTATGTGTGTGTATATGACAAATTGTGACGCCATGTGTAACTAAATGATATAATTATGAACAGCAATAATTTATGCTGGAAAAGTCATCATTCGATCATTACAACTGCATTACTGTGTGATATCTACTATGGGAGAGCACCAATAAGCATGAAAATTAGGCACACTATGTTCCCCTTCTGACTTTTTTTAGCGACAGGCCTCTTATTATGAGCTGGCATTGGTTAGAGAACCATTGGAAAACCGGCGAAGTACAAGAATAGCGTCCCAGGAGTGCGAATGCTCAAATGACTTTGAACGCTTGCTAGTCATTGGTTGAGGAACCTTTCCATTTTTCTAGCGCGAAAATGACGCCTGTTCATCTGCTGAGATGGAAATTTCAACCAGAGCACGTATTTTAATACTGCCTAGATAATGGATTAATAGGACGTACTCGGATATGTAGTTGTGGTGCTTCTGTGAACCTGCAGTCGTATACCCAGGTCATTGATGGATATATATTTAGATGTACACAGTGTAAGAAGCGATAAAGTGTTCGTACTGGTAAGTGACACTCTCAGTTGATTATCTTTTAGGAACTTTCTTTGAAAAATCGAAACTTTCGTTGACCAATATCCTGTTCCTGTGCTTACTGGATTTTAAAGACTGGGGTGAGATCAACTCCCGCTCAGACAGATAATATGTTAACGTCAACTGTGCAAAGGTTCCAATTTTGCTGAGATTTGGCATCATGGAAAATGAACAGTATTACACAAGTGTTGGGCGGAGTCAGTGTCGTAGTTCATATCGATGAAACGGTGCTTATAAAGAAGAAGTACAATCGAGGACGTGCTAGGGCTAATAACGTTTGGATTCTTGGTATTTACGACACCGAGATTCGCAAAGGATTCGTCGAACTTATTCCAGATAGGAGTGCTGATACACTCCTCCCTATTATTCAAAGGCTGATCTTGCCAGGCACAACCATTCATACGGATGAATGGGTAGGATATAATCGACTATCGGCTTTGGGATTTATACATCATCGAGTAAATCATTCGGATGACTTCGTCGACCCCAGAACCGGTAGCCATACTAATTCAATCGAAGGTTTCTGGAGAAGACTAAAAAATAGAATCAGAGCTATAAACGGCTCTCAAAACCAAGTTATTTTTAGTCACCTGGATGAAGATATGTATAGAAATTGGTTTAATTTAAAAACTGAAACTCCTCAATATAACTGGGAGACATTTTTATCTCATATTAGACAAAAAAATACCCTGTATAATATTTTTCATGCGTTTTTGTGTAAATATACGTAAAATTTTATGCAAAAATCCTCCTATTTTCTGATTGGTCGGCTGAAGGTCAGTTGTGCGTTCGCATCCCTTGGGACGCTATTGTAAAACTTTGCCGGAAAACCAACCAGGGAGTACTGCCAGAGAGCTGTTTTGTCCCAGTGCTCGGTACTCCTTGGCAGTACGCACCCACTGCACCGAGGTTCGAACCCAGGACCTTCTGGTTACAAGGCTGGCGAGCTAGCTCGTAGACCACCATTAGGCCACTCACTGGGACCCAATCCAATGGCCGGCCTATGAATTCTAACTTCTGCCAATTCATGCACGATATAGCGCAACCGCTAGCCAATGTCATCGGTGGCGAGTATTTGTCCTCTCACACCCGACCTGCAGCACCCTACTGGTCACGACGACTTCCCACTAGAACCCCAGGTAACTACCTACCTGAATAGGGCCAGCCGCCGCCAGTGAGCATCTCATTGATATTCAAAGGTTGACTTTTTTGTACACTTCAACACGCTATTACTATAAAACAGATCACCTCCAAGAGAGGGTGAAGAATATTTCGGCTTTCAGGTAGTACCGAGCTGTGAAGGCGGGGGGGGGGGATGGGAACACATTTGAAATAAGTAAATTTCTGTTGTTTTTTTACCTTTATGCTCCTCTCCATTTCCATTCACCATATCAATCTCTTCAGGTATAGGCGATAATTTGCTGTACTCTTGCTGCTACCACCTTTGACTGTTGTTAACACGGTATCCACATTGCCCAGAATACACCATTGTTCAGACTGATCGTCACTATCGAACAGCTGCTGAAGTTGTTGTTGTTGGTGGTGGTGGTGTTGTGTAGGCCGATTGCTGTTGTCCAATGATTTCGATGAGGACAGTGGACTCGCCGACTCAACACCAATACAAGATACAATAAGACGTAGGGTAAAATCCTGACGGAAGTCATCACACTGTAGACATGTATCCTGAGTAATATTAAACTCCGCTAGCGTTTTATTTAATGTATCTAAAATGCACAGAGAAATAAGAACACCGAAGAATTACATAATTATAATGAAGAACAATAGAGACATAATAAATCACAAAGAGTGAATGCATCTCAGCCAGCCAGGCGTATATTACCAACTATCTCCAGATGCCAATGCCAATGGTTTTTACCATCCCGAGGACCCCAAACAACCAGTCAGTCAAGAAATCTACATCTCCCTACGTGGCTTATAAGCTAACTCTTATGCCTTTTACTGATGGATGAAGCCATGTCTTGGTTTGACCACCGTTAGCTCTTTTTCTAACCCAATTCAATCTCATATTAGCTAATAATGCCCAATGTCAAGGAAGGTGATGTGTTCATAAGACTTTACAAAAGAGAGAGAGAGAGAGCAGTCATTGCTGCCTCTTTGTAAACATTATGGGTAAATTGGTTGATGGTGACTAACAGTCGGATCCTAGATTCACATTTCGTCTTATTTGAGACTTGTTATCTGGATGTACCTGGGGAAACCTCAAGCAGAATACTTTGCGGTCCAGTCAGGGAATGGAAAGGTCTAAACTGCATTAAATAATTACTGACACCCGTTGTACAAGAGATGACTCTCGTGGCCCAAGTGATCTAGTGGATAACGTTTTGGTGTTTGAAACGGTGGATTCTGAGTTCCAGCCTCAATGAGGACATCATCATTTACTGAGGAATGCAGCTGCATCCAGTTGACGAGTCCCCAAAAGGACGAAACGTGCATCCTGGATTCCATTGCTAGTCATCATCGACCAATTTACTTCAAGTTGAATAATCAGACATTGTCGAAGCATCTGTACAAGGAGGTTGAGCGCATCGGTTCAATCAGTCCAAATCAAATTAAGTATAGGTGAATGTATTCAACATACAGTGAAGTACTCATTACTTTCCGTTTCAAGCTTTGAACTTTCAGAGTAGTGATGGTGTTTGTTTTCTTATATACAGGGTGGGGTTGTTAGCTTCACTCCCAAAACTGCCTTATCTTCTAGTCTATTACCGGTTAGTCATCGACACTAGACCACTTGTGTAGCTGATTCAACCACCAACGCACAAGAGAACAGTTGAATACATTCCAGTATTATTAATTCTCGTTTAACCACCTAAGAAATGAACATTCAAAAATTAATCAATCTACGGTATCTTAATTAAGAAGAACACTATCGCTTGACAAGTTCGTAGGCATAACCACCGATACATACTTTACAATATGTCTGGACTTACATATCATTTCACTATAATTACAATAACCTGTAATTCAGTTATTCAGAGAGTTAGAACTCAGTTCGGAATCATTTAGATTCGATATATATGTGTATGATCTGCTTGAGACAACCAGAATGGCAGTCAAGAAAGCAATCATAAACGCATGACGATAGTTACTAGTAAACACCACACAGTCGTTTCGCTTGTGTTCAGACCCCTTTTGTCCAGGTAGCTAGCTAGCTAGCTAACTAGCTAGCCAGAATTCTGGTGGTTTCAAGTGGCTTGGCTCCCTGAACTCAGAGTGTGTGTGTGCGCGCACGCGGCATTCAACTACTCATATCAAACAATCAGTACTATATCGAATCAAAGAATCGATATTGAAAGCATATGAATTGACTAGCTTCAAGAAATATTGAACGTGTGATTCACCATCGAAAGTGCTGATGAAGACCAAAGAGAAACAAGGAGTCATCAGAGGAATGAACACAAATTATGTAGGATGTTGCATAATAATTGCCTCTTTGATCTCATCTAAGGTAGTTAAAAGTCAGGAAGAGATTTCCCTTGTACCACGCTAAGAACCACCCACACTTGTGGTGTGAGGAATGATGACACCACCATCTAACGGTCCGGACTGAAGTAGGACATGACCGGGACTCGAACCCTTAACCTATCGGGAGAAAACGGAATGCTCAAACCAATGAGGTTGGGTAATTCTTACTATCCAGTTAACCACCCAGGCTGAAGTAGGTGGGGATGGATTTGAACCTGGGACTCAATCCCTGAAAGCTGTTGACTAAAAACAGCGAAGAAACGATAAGTATTTTTTAAAAATTTACGTGTGATCACAAACTGACATCAGCTAGAGAACCATTGGAAAATCAGAGAGTACTGGATATCTGTTGCGTTTTGTATTATGTTATTCGAAAAACAGAACCTGGTACAATATAGGCACCAGGAAGCTGCGTCATACAAGAATAATAAAACAAAAAAACATAATGAAAATACAGAGTGGGCTGACCACCTCTTACCCGTCCCAGAACTAGCTAGCAGAGAGGTCGGTAAGGAAGCGCTTCTGGGATTATATTCGTATCGTAGCACACATCCAAGCCATCGAAACAGGTGTTTCCAGATAAAGACTCTCAACGAATAGCTGCCCTCTACTGTATCCAAACATACAGAGCAGGAAGTCAGAATTACTCACGCGATGATGCCATCGGAAGTAAGCAGTTCTAGGAAAACAAAGATGATCAAATACACAAAGTCGCCGTACATCCTCAGCTCGGAGAGACCAGGTTTCACAGACGCAGAGAAAGAACATTGTAAACCCAAACTTTAATGGTCAGGTCAATGTCGTGACAGCACTGGAGGTGACTAGAATTGGTGTATGCCACCCTAGCATTCATGATAAGGTTGGAAATCTTCTCCGTCACACCGTCACCAGCACTGACACAACCAACCACCCAGGGACATGAACTTAACAACGACTTCAAGTGGTTTACATGCAAGGGGGGCGTGAGGGCAGCTACAGGCTCCTGCCAATCTTCTAAGAGTATGGAGGTATAACACATATCATACTCAGAGACACTGATCGCCTACTGATCAAAAGCGGTTTGGGCAGCAGCATAAGTACTATCTAACAGTAAGACGATATCGTCTGTATAATCTACGTCAAAAAGTACTTTCTTCAGGAAGCAGATCTACGCCAACATCAAGCGGCATCCTTCAGAGCTGGAGAGAATGGGAAACCCTGTCTAGCCTCACAGTTGGTTGGGAAAAGTGGTGACAGCTTCCTGTATGTCATCACTCTACTTATGGTGCTTTTGTATAGGGCTTTCATGATGTTACCTAACTTCTCACGAACATTTCCCCCTTCAACAAACAGTTCCAAAGATCAGTTTTGTCCGAGGTATCAGAAACAGCCCTAATATCAAAATACACAACGACTGTTAGCTTGCAATATGTGTGGCGGTATGCCGGCAACTGACGAAGGGCGAACACATGATCAATGCATCCACGATCTGAACGACACCCAGCCGGCTCTTCGTGAATCGATTCTTCATTTGTCTGGCACAGCCGGCGAAGTAAGACAGTAGCTATTATTTTAGACGCAACTACTGGCAACAAACGAATACCCCTACGGTTATCGCTTCTTGTTGCATCCTCGTTTAAAGCTCTTTAGAACAATGCACCCTACGGCGATTTGAACCCTGGACCAACCGGTTACAAGGCGAGATCGTTGACCACTTAGACACTGGGACCCACGAATTCCAACTTCCACCAATTAGTGATACGAAAATTAAATCAAATCCATGCCATCCGATAGCTAGGAATTCATCTGATGCCTACTAGCGACTGGCTGTATGCGGGAAGTTATGCGGAAATCTAGTGAGTTGATATCGGCGGAGTACACCAAGTCGAGTAAAACAGTTACCGGTAGAACAAGACATATAAGCGAACAATATTGTTTTCAATTAGATCTTCTTCAGGCTTTACTTTAATTTACATACACTTATACATAAAATTTTTAACCAATGACGGTGATTTTTGTGAATTAAATAATAATAATAATAATGTGGTCACCTGCATAAACCATATTATCATTATTTTGTTATCATTATAATCATCGTTATTAATTTCGTTCAAAACATTTACCACATTATTATGATTATTACTATTACTATTGGATTGGAAGAAAGGATACTTATTCAAACTACCAAAGAAAGGAGACTTAAGTCAATGCAAAAACTGGCGTGGAATTAGGCTCCTGTCCATCCCAAGGAAAATACTAAGCCGCATCATCCTGGAGAGAATCAAACACGCCGACCTGGATGAAAAACTTCGACCCGAACAAGCTGGATTCAGGAGAAACAAATCATGTATTGATCAAATCGCCACACTACGGATCATCATTGAACAGAGCTTGGAATGACAGTCACGTCTCTATTTCAACTTCATTGACTTTGAAAAGCCCTTCGATAGAGCAGTGTAGATCGAGAAGTGATTTAGCAACTACTTCGCTACTACAGGGTGCTACCGACAATTATACATCTCATCCAACAGTTATACAATAATGCTGCATGCCAAGTAATCTACAAAGGGAAACTTACGGAAGCCTTCGAAGTGAGGACGGGAGTAAGGCAAGGCTGTCTACTACCGCTAATGATCTTCCTGATTGCAGTAGATTGGATAATGCGACAGACAACGGCAACCAACGAGGGAACGGGCATAAAATGGACTCACACAAAAAACTTGGAGGATATGAACTTCGACGATGATATATGTCTGATTTCCCACAAACTGGAAGATATGCAAGTGATGAAAAGCAACAAGTTGGCAGAAGAAGCATCCAGAGAAGATAGGAATTCAGGTGAACATCGAGAAAACAGAGGTGATGAAGACTCCTGGGCAACAGCAACAGCAACAACAGACAACAATCAGCCAGCTTAAATGGAAGGAACCTGAAAGAAACAACCTCCTTTAACTACCAACCTACCTGGGAAGCATCGTTTCAACTACAGGCCAACGGAACTGACGAGGATATCAAAGCAGCGAGGATCGGAAAGGCAAGACAAGCTTTCATTACTCTCAAGTCTGTGTGGAAGTCAACAGCACTCAGCATGAAAATGAAAATAAGATCCGGATTTTCAACTCCAATGTGAAGTCAGTGCTACTCACTACACGGATCAGAGACTTGCACTGCGCGTCATAAAGAGCATCCTAAACAAACTTCACACCTTTATTAACAGTCGTCTTCTCTCAATACTCAAGATCAGATGGCCGGCCAGAAAAGATCACCAACAGGGATCTCTGGCAATGATCAAACCAACTCAGCAGGAACCGATTGTGAAACCAATAGACAGGAAGAAATGGAGGTGGATTGGCCGTACGCTGAGGAAACCATCAAGTGATATCACTAGACAAGCCATCGCTCGAGTCGAACCCGAAAGGGAAGCAGCGAGCTGGTCGTCCAAGGGTGACTTGGAGGAGGTCATGTGAAGAGGAGATGAAAGCAGGTGGGCAGACTTGGAGCCAGGTGAAAAAGTTGGCAGAAAACCCAACGCAATAGAGACGCGTGGCTGAAGCCCTATGTTCCTCTAGGAATTAAAGGAAATAATTAATTATTATTGACGGGATTGAACAGAGTAAAGCCTGAAGATCTAATTGAAAACAACAATATTGGTCGCTTATATGCCTTGTTCTAATATTATAAATGGGAATATTAAAAAATTAGTAGAAGTTGAAATTCATGGACCATCAGATAGAGTCCCAGCGCTAGAACCGTCAACGAAATCGCCATGCAACCAGTTGGCACCGGGGTTCCGAAAACAGCAGATGAGTAGTGCTGCTGAAGAGTCCTAGCCTAGGACGAAACAACTATCCAGTACTGCATGGTTTTCCAGTGGTTCTGTTACCAATAACACTTAATGACTAACCGGTAACCAAACTAATGACTGTTAAACAACAATTGAAAACATATGGAAAATCATCTACTGACAATCAGCTTCACACACCACCTACACACCGACCTACCTTCGTCTGTCTCACCCTCTTCACTTGATATCAAAATAACACCACGATCAGATAGTTCAACATCTGGTGCTAACATGCCTAAATGTCGGATCAGAATACGATCTCGGAGAATACGCAAAGTGAGTGTTTCTGGTGAACAGACTAAGCGCAGTTGAGAATTTTTGATTGTATCACTGCATACCAGACAAGAAGGATTTGGTGGTGCCGGCTTCACTGGGACAACAAGACGACGATTACCACGACGACCAGTTGGTTGACGATGTAGGTAGACTGTACGTACACGCTAGAAACAAAAATAAATAAATAAAAAGGAAATTAGGAAAAAACATCCTTTACTTAGTGACTTCACTATATATATGTGTGGTAAAAAAAATAGCCGACGCCGACGCCGACTCACACACACAGACTTTTGAGAAAGTAAAGTAAATACTAAGGAAGTAAAGTTCAATTTACAGAAAAATGTTAAAACTTTTCTATTATAGATAAGATTTTATTTTGATAAATCGAATCCCGATGGGTGCGTACTGCTGAAGAGTCCCAAACTAGGACGAAACAGCTGTCCAGTACCCCCAGGTCTTCCAATGATCCTAACTAACTAATGTCAGCTCATGATGAAATCCTGTAACCAATCATCAAATCCCTACAAACCAACACTTGAATACCAATGAGATGCTCACTGGCGGCGACTGGCCCTATTCAGGTAGGTAGTTACCTGGGTTCCAGTGGGAAGTCGCGACCAGTAGGGTGCAGCGGGTCGGGTGTGAGGACAAATACTCGCCACCGAAGACATTGGCTAGCGGTCGCGCTATGTCTTGAATTGGCAGAAGTTAGAATTCGTGGACGATTGGATCGGGTCTCAGTGGCTTAATGGTATACGAGCTCGCCTTGTAACCAGAAGGTCCTGGGTTGGAATCCCGGTGGGTCCGTACTGCTGAAGAATCCCAAACTAGGACGAAATAGCTGTCCAGTACTCCCAGCTGGTTTTCCAATAGTTCTCTAACCGATGTCCACTCATGATGAAATCCTGAAATCACACAGTGTTAGTTATACAGTAAGTAATATTTACTGATGACCACGTTTCGAGCACAAATTATCACGGCTCATAATCATATCAAGTCAATGACTCACATAACCTTTTACTTCATTTATAATACATGAGTGAAATTGATGAGGAAGGCTAGCTAACTTGGGATTAAGTTAGTTTGGAGTATTAGGGGTGGTCAAACCGACACATATCGACCACTTTGAGCCATATCACTAATTGTTTCCAGCCATCATTGGTTTTTACCGTCCCAAGGACCCCAATCCATAGTTGTACCAAAAATACAGTGTGGAATCAAGCTGTAAATCGAAATAAAATAAATAATCAGACAGTCAGGAAATCTATACCTTCCTACGTGACTGGCTGGCTTAAACTAACTGTTGTGGATTTCATTGACTGGGGAGGCTATGTTTTGGTTTCACTACCACTAGCTAGCTCTTTTCCAGCCTGACTTTATATCAGCTAACATTGCCCTCACTATCGAGGAAGGCGATGACTAGTCATGAATACGTAACACTTGTCCTAACCGTATCAGTTGATGTAACTTCATAACCTCGTCGATTGATTTCCCCTCCTTACCTAAAACTCCACTGAGTCCTAACCGCAATATTGCTCACCTTACTATACCACTTCACACGGGAAATAGAACGAAGGCACCTATGATAGAAGACAGCTAATCTTTTCATGTCTTCCCCTCTCAATGGCCAGGTCTCACAGCCATAAAGGAGGACGGAGAGGACTGATTAGCAGTACACCCGCCCTTGGTTTCTAAGTCAACGAGATTATACCCTGATGGTGAAAAGTCATTCCCCCAGGTAGCTGAAGTCATTTAGGATTAACTCCATTAGGACATCTAATGATGAAATAAAACAGAAATGGGGGGGGGCTTCGTGTGCATTTACTTACTTCACTTTACTTCGACTATCTCCTACGGAGGATGAGCCGGCTTCATGATTCATGAAGTTTCATGGAATTAGGTACGAGTGATGTCCCCAGCATCACTCGGCCTTTTGTTTGAGAGTGCAGTTCTAGCCTTTACACAACCAAGTGTGACCTACAAGGCAGTAGAAGTGGAGTAAGGAGTCCACTATCCATTGGTAGCCGGTGACCGTTCATACGCCTTTTGAATGGGCCCAGACATCCAGGGCATCCAATAAGCCCTTTGTCCATACGTCTGCCGGTGAGCTTCATACGCCAGTCGTTGGAGGTTTGGAATCAGGGTTTAGCCATCTCCCTGGACTGTCATCCAATGGACAGTCAACCCGGTGAAGAGCGCCAGATATCCGCTTCTGCCCTCTCACTTCGGTGAGAAACACCTCCGCCACGTGAAGGCAGTGAATAGGACTTCCTCAGGAAAGGCTATGTAAGACGCCCGGTCATATGGAGCATTTCAAGAGGTGTACGAAGGGGTGGCCAACCCGCAGCGCAAGTGTGCATTTGGAGGTGTGTGGGCAGTTGTTATTTCCCGGAGGCCCACTTCGTAGAAGTCACTTTTTCTTGGGGTACCTGAAACAGAAAGAGGGTTACTGATGTGTGACCCCAGAGCCCACCCGTTACACACGGCCCATCTGAACTGGCTTTTCGGCTTCGTTTCTTATTAGTAACTTACCACAGGCTAAGGACCACCACCGTACGGTAAGTTGGGTTGCACAATTGTTGGGGTCGACTTTTCTAAGCCTCTCTCTCTCTCCAGAGTTGAGGGACAGAATTGCTGACATGCTGGTCACCTTACTGCAGCTGTTACACACATCCCTGTTTACCAGCAGTACGACTTTGCCAACAGGCCCCCCAACCATAGTGTAACTGCTTTTAGTCTAATCGCTATCTTAACAATCTTCCTAACATGGCAGGACCTGAAAGAACATTAATTCAAGCCAGTGTAAGTTGTTAGGACATTGCGATATGCAAGCCCGGCCACTACGTCAAGGTAGCAGACACCGGTAGGGAAACCAAAGCGAAGAAGTCCATTATGGATAAGATTTTATTTTGATAAATCACACACAGTGTTGTACAGTTATATTAACTGGTGACCACGTTTCGAGCACAAACTATTGCCACTCATAATCATATCAATTTACTCACACAACTTTGTTCTTTCATTTATATACATGTGTAGAATCGATTAGATATTGGATTAAAATCAATGTGAGATAATGTACATTCAGAAATAATAGTACGAGTGTTGTTGATCAATTGCAGTTAGATGAGAAAAAAGGACGAGTGTGTTTTACAGTCATAATAAGCTACTTGTTAGAATGTTGTGTTTGAATTGAAATAGAATTTTAAGATTATTTATTATCCTCTTCTGATTTGACTGACTGGTGGTGATAATATCTTCCATATCTCTGGTATTTGCGTTGAGTCATTTCTGTTGTATGTGTTGGGTGTAGACTCGATAAATAAGGATTCCGTGATCAACCCATCTAACTGCAATTGCTAAACAACGCTCGCACTATTATTTCTGAATGCACATTATCTCACATTGAATTTTAATCCAATATCTAATCCATTCCACACATGTAGATAAATGAAAGAACACAGTTGTGTGAGTAACTTGGTATGATTATGAGTGGCAATAGTTTGTGCTCGAAACGTGGTCATCAGTTATTATAACTGTACAACACTGTGTATGATTTATCAAAATAAAATCTTATACATAATGGAGTTATACTCTACCACAGTGCCCAAGTTTTATACTTATATCAAAGCGAAGAAGGCTTAATCGTGCTTGACCAAAGAACACCTGCATAAAGTCAGACCAATAGCTTCCATAAAGAAAAGTTTAACACCAGCTACAGACCACACCAAATTATTAGCGACGAATATTTTCGGACAGAATTTCTCTAACCCCTCATCCTCCTCCTCAGAGCAAGAACGCAACCAGATACATTTCCCTTTTGAGCATATGATGACGACTATCCTCCATTTGAACAAGTTTGCTTTTAAACCCCGGTCATAGGTAAAAATAACTTACACTACTATGAATAGTAACTACTTTAATTCCTTAACTGCTACCCTACCGACGTTTATTTCCGATATAGTGAGACTTGCAAGAACACAGGTCTCCCGGACGAAATAGGTCGTTAAGCGGTCACGGTAATATACAAGCCTGAGCACCTGTCTGTCTGTCTGTTTTCGACATAGAACTTTGCACAAATGTGCGGAAGTTCAAGTCGCCACATTCCGTGTAGCACGCTAACCAAGAGAAGAAAGTACAAGAAATGCATAATAGAAACAGTGAGGAGAGGTGTGAGACAAAGGAGTAATAAAGAAATACAAAACAGTTTCATTAAAGATCATAAGTCACAAGGAGTGGATGCATCTACGCCAATGAGAACGGTTTTGAGCCATGTCACCAATTGTTTCCAACCATAGGTTATTACCGTCCCGAGGACCCCAGCCTGGAAGTCTACACCTTTCTACGTGGCTTAGACTAACTGTTGTGGATTTCATTGACTGTTGATGCCAAGTTTTTGTTTGACCGCCGCTAGCTTTTTTCCAGCCTGACCCTATATCCGCTAACATTGCTCATCGGGGGAGGCGATGACTTGGCATACGTAACACATGTCCTAACCATCTCAGTCTTTGAAGCTTCACGACTTCGTCGATTGATTTCCCCTCTTTACCTAGCACTCGACGCCTAACCTCCATGTTGCTCACCTTATTATGCCACTTTACACGGGAAATAGAACGCAGGCACCTATGATCAAGGACAGCTAGTCTTTTCATGTCTTCCACTCTCAGTGGCCAGGTCTCACAACCATAAACGAGGACGGAGCGGACTGATAAGCAGTACACCCGCCCTTTGGTCGATAGTCGAACATTTCGTCTACGCCAGAGTCGGCGTAAACTGGCAAATGCGAAACGAGCCCCCTGTATTTGTGCTGAGATTTCGTCAGCCTGAGCACCACACCAAAACAGCAGTTCCGCGAGGTGTGAAACAGCAGTACGATGATCACTTCAGATGAATGACATTCCTTGGAAAGTGTCCTACTTTATTCAGGAAATAAACGGTTCCATACCCTAACTTACGCTTGTAAACCACAACTGAACACACATGAGACGTGATTATTTAGAACCCTTACATCCCAAAACTGGACTTGTAATGTATCAAGATTTGATTACTGGTTGTGTTGTCGACAAAGACTTATGTCACAGTGATTCCACATTCAGAAATCCATTATTTAGTTTAAACGGACACCAATACAGCGATCCAGAAGTCATTTGAGTAACTAATTAGTTTCCCAGTATTGGTTTGTAGAGATTTTGTCTGTTTGGTTGAAGAAACCGTGACCAGTAGGGTATAACACCAGGTAGAGTGTGGGACAGAAGACATTGCTAAGTGGTCGCGCTATGCCGTAAATTGGTAGAATTTAGAATTTATGGGTTGGCCATTGGACAGAGTCCCAGTGAATGGCTTAACGGTCTACAAGCTCGCTAGTCTTGTGCAACCAGAAGGTCGGGTTCGAACCCCTGTGGTAGGTATATACAGACGAAGAGGAGTCCCAAACTAGACTGACTAAACAGCTGGCTGTCCAGTACTCCCTGCAGGTTTTTCAGTGGTTCTCTAACTGATGTTAGCTCATGATGAAATCCTCCAACTCATTTAACTAGTCTCGCAAGATACACAGGATGTTTGTGTCTTCTAAATGAATCTTCACAAACCAAGATAATAATTGATTAGTTTAGCCTTCTTATATGTATGAGAGTTTTGCTTCCATCAACTGGCACAATTTATCACTATTTAAGCAGTTGTAGGTAACGCTAAGGAGTTTTAAATGAGTTTCAGAGAGAACACCACTTCCTGCATGGATGCAGGCATACCTGTCCGACGAATCTGAAGTAGGAGGAAACGCACGCCCTCGATTCTACCGCTAGCCATCATTGACAGACTACTATACACAGTTTTTACTCCTGACTGACATCAATACCCACCGATTATGTAGATAGATCGACATATATTATTATTATACATAGGGTTTCAACTGCACGTCTCCACTTGCCACTTCTGTCTTCCTTCTGCTGTACTTTTCACCTGCATTCGGCCATGTTAGTTAGTCCATACTCTTTCAACTCCTCTTCACACGATCTCCTCCATGTCACCCTCCAACTGACGTCCCACTCGCCGCCACTTCCCTTTCGACCTGGTTCCACTCGAGAAATGGCCTGACGCGCGCGCGATGTCACCCAGCGGCCTCCTTAGCCAGTGAGTGTCAAATACCATCTCCACTTTCTCCTGCATATTTGTTGGTTGGCGATTGGTTCTTGTTTTGTTTGTTTGTTCCCATAGTTTCTTGTTGGTGGTGATTCTTTCCAACCCGCCCATCTGGTCTTCAGTATAGAGCCAGCGAAGACAGTTGTTGTTGATAAAGGTCTGCAACAGGCTGTTGTTGGAAATATTCTTTGTGACCCGCCCGTCCGCCAAGTTTCTGATCCGTATAGGAGAAGTGACTGACTTGATGTTTGTATTGAAAATACGACCGAATCTTGTTGTTGATGCTGGCTGAGTGACGAAGATTTCGAGATTGGTTTCAGTTGGTTGATGAATGTGTTTCTCGCTCGCCTTCCCGATTCTCGCTCGATTTGACATCCTCGTCCGTTCTGACAGCCTGTAGTTGAGACAATGCTCCCTAGATAAGTGAGTGAATGAAGTAACCTCTTTCAAATCCCTCCCGTTAATGGTGATTACTAGCCTAGATTACTAGCTAGCTAGTTTTCTAGCCGATCCCAAGCCCGGATAAAGAGGGAGGATTGGGGCGTGGTGTTAGCAATGCCACCCTCAAAACTTAATCAAATCGCTACAGAAACTTCAACGCACATACATACATTAAAAATTCTAAATCGACATTACACAACTTAAAGATGTGTCTTCAGAAAACATTCGAAACTCTGAAAACTTTGTTGCCAATGATTAGAAAAGGGGAACGTACACACAAACGCACACTCACACACACACACACACCCAGAAAGATCAATAAAATCAATCAAGATAACAAATAATAATTTACCTCATAATGTTTTGATAAAATATGTCTAGCTTGAAGTACCATCAGTCCAGCGACAATTGCATTTGTAGACGCTACCGCAGGGATTATATTCCCAGCTAGTGATTTGATTGTAAATCGAGTGAGTTGATCAGCACCGGGTAAATGGAACAAGTGTGATCGAATGACAGCAGCAGATACCACAAAATCCATAGCTTCTTGATCATCCTGATGATGGCGATGATATGCAAAACAAAAGGCATGAAAAGAAATTATGTCACAACCAATATTACATAACAATTTACACGTATATGCACACAATTTACAATTTACTCTATTTTGTAAGTAACGGTTGGAAGGAACATGTACCTGAATGGTTTGGCAATCAATTCAACTCTAAAACATCCATATGCGCGGTTGGTAGACTACCACAGACTTAACCATGACAAAGCATATTATTGATATGAATTATACGGTTGGTGTTAAGTGACCATTTGCGTGTTCGAATCCACTCATAAACAACCTTGTACAGCCAAGGGTGGATAGACATCCATCCATCTGCCTTTCGAAATGCTACCTTTGATGTGGCCACGCGTTCGTATCCCCTTCCAGAAAAGCCTCTTTCACTGTATTTATGTGGTACAGATGTTCCTCCAAAACTGAAAGGGCAAATACGAACTTCCGGGATGGTGGACACGCTGGTCCACCTAAAGGAGCCGAAAAATCCACCCCGATTCCAAACCTATGATGTACATGAGCTCCACAATCCGGAAGAATCGTACAGCGTATGAACCCGTTTGTGGTCACCTAAAACCATGGGAATATATAGCTTCTAATACTGCTTCACTGTCCTGTGAATCAAACTTCAAGTGAAAGGCTTTAGGGCCTGGTGTATTGGCTTGTTAAAACAACCACCTGCTTCGATTTGGGCATCAGGTAGCATAACAGTTCTCGTACAAACTAAAAGACAATTTTGAGCAGCGCGTTCCTTGGTGACTATGATTTAGAGAGCTTGCGTTTAAACAGTAACTCTTATTACACAAATACAGGGAGTTCCCGGGGTTATTTAATTGGTGGATGGTGACTAGCACTGGAATCCAGGATAAAGCGCATTTCGTCTTATTGGGACTCGTCACCTGTCGGGATGTACCTGCATTCTCCAGTGAGTGATGATGTTTCCACAAACGATGCTCGAACCCAGTACTCGTAGTTTCAAACGCCAAGCCGTTATCCACTAGACCACTTGGGCCACAAGAGCCACCTCTTGTGCAACGGATCATAATAATTTAATTGAGATCAAACACTTCGGTCCAATCAATCGACGGAAAAATCTAAGATCAAATAAATAATTAATATGATCCGTTGCATAAAAGGTGGCTCCCGTGCCCCAAGTGATCTAGTGGATAACGCTTTGGCGTTTGAAACTATGGGCACTGAGTTCCAGCCTCGGTGGGAACATCATCATTCACTCACTGGGGAATGCAGGTACGTCCAGCTGGGAGACGAGTCCCAAATAGGACGAAATGCGCGTTATCCTGGATTCCCCTGCTAGTCACCATCCACCAATTAAATTCTAATTACATGCCCAGACATCGTCGAAGCGTCTGCACAAGAAGCCAACAGACATGTCAACGTGAGACAGAGCACTTCGGTCCAATCAATCGACAGGAAAATCTAAAATTCAATTAAGTTCCCAGGTTAATTCGAATTTCCCGCTGACTCATCAATGTGTTCGACTCCCTATGGGAACAGCATCACTGACTCACTTCCTACGAATACACGTACATCCAGATGAGGTGCAAAATACGCCACTTGATCCCACTGCTAGCAAACCATCAACTAAAAATGGATATCGTCATGTTCTAAAACTTTGTACGTCAAAATGTTACTCCGCCCAACTTACTCAACAGACACATAATGCGTTATTTTGATCAAAAGCCACTAAAAATTAGATCAAGTTGAAAAAATAGCAACCAACCAACCAACCAAGTCATCATTATTTCACCGCAATTATCACACAGAATTAACCAGTTGTCAGTCAAGTGAACAGGCAACTAATGTGATGCTTTCAATTCACTCATGATTCATCATCCACATGAAACAGGTGGGATTATAAGGTGATTATTCCAGTGAAATAATGGTGACCTGATTAGCATCAGAGATTAAAATATAGTTCGCAGACCACTGCTAATGCTGTCGCTAACCTGATATTCAATTCATCCTTAATCATCCTCTGGTAATACTTGTAAGTGAATCGACACTCCAGTCTTTTTAGAAGTGAGATCAGCAGAAACTGAATCACTTGTAACTTTTGTGGATAGGCGTCAGACAGACAGACAGACATTTCCATGAGTCTTGAGAATACCTTCTCCAACGTGCACAGGTCTACAAGAGAACTTAACTATGAGATGATGCCTAGTCTTTTCTCCCCGTTATTCAAATATATTGCTATACATACATCCAACATTATTATTGGTGCTTATTATCACCAATGATATCCCTAATTGTGATGGACTGGATTATGCGTCAGACAGTGGAAAACGAGAAGACAGGGATATGCTGGACCGACAGACGTGAACAACCCAAGAAGACCTGGATTTCGCGCGTGGATGATTTATGTTCGATGTCACACAAAATCGAAGACTTACAAGCGAGAACCGACAAACTGGTCGAAGAAGCAGCCAGAGAAGAAAACAGAACTCCATGTGAACATAGACAAGACGGAGGTTATGAAAATGACCAACCAACCAACAACAACAACAGTTACATCCACCACCAATCACCACCAACGGGAGGGATTTGAAAGAGGTTACTTCATTCACTCACTTATCAAGGGAGCATTGTCTCAACTACACGCAGTCAGAACGGACGAGGATGTCAAATAGAGCGAGAATCGGGAAGGCGAGCGAGAAACACATTTATCAACCAACTGAAACCAATCTCGAAATCTTCGTCATTCAGCCAGCATCAACAACAAGATTCAGTCGGATTTTCAATACAAACATCAAGTCAGTCAGTTCTTCTATACGGATCAGAAACTTGGCGGACGGGCGGGTCACAAAGAATATTTCCAACAGCAGCCTGTTGCAGACCTTTATCAACAACAACTGTCTTCGCTGGCTCTATACTGAAGACCAGATGGGCGGGTTGGAAGGAATCACAACCAACAAGGAACTGTGGGAACAAACAAACAAAACAAGAACCAATCGCCAACCAACAAATAAGCAGGAGGAAGTGGAGATGGATTGGACACTCACTGGCTAAGGAGGCCGCTGGGCGACGTCGCGCGCGCGTCAGGCCATTTCTCGAGTGGAATCGTCGAAAAGGAAATCGGCGAGTGGGACGTCAGTTGGAGGGTGACATGGAGGAGATCGTGTGAAGAGGAGTTGAAAGAGTATGGACTAACTAACATAGCCGGATGCAGGTGAAAAGTACAGCAGAAGGAAGACAGAAGTGGAAGTGGAGACGTGCAGTTGAAGCCCTATGTTCCATTAGGAACCCAAGGGAATAATAATAATAATATCTCATTAAAATAACTTTGCACACATACAAAACTTGAAGTCTGCATAAGGAAAAGTTGTTAAAATTGAATTGAATTTCTAGATTGTCCCATCGATTGATTAGACCGATATGCTCGGTCTCAGGTTGACATGTCTGTCGGCTCCTTCTTGTGCAGATGCTTCTTCGACGATGTCTGGGCATGTAATTAGAAGTGAATTGATGGATAGTGACTAGCAGTGGAATCTACCAGGATAACGCGCATTTCGTCCGATTTGGGACTCGTCAGCTATCGGGACGTACCTACATTTCCCAAGTGAGTGATCATGTTCCTGACATGTCAACCTGAGACCGAGCATTTCGGTCCTATCAATCGATGGGAAAGTGTGAAATTGAATTCAATAAATAATTAATATGAACCCCGTTGCACAAGAGCTAGTGGCTCTCGTAGTTCAAGTGGTCTAGTGGATAACGCTTGGGTGTTTGAAACTGTTGGTACTGGGTTCGAGCCTCGTTTGTGGAAAAATCATCACTCACTAGAGAATGCAGGTACATCCCGACGGATGACGAGTCCCAATAAGGCGAAATGCACTTCAGCTTGGATTCCAGTGCTAGTCAACATCCATCAGTTAAAGTACCGTCAAGTTGGTCAATTTTTCTGTATGATCTAGAGACTTGGTGTGTACCAACAGGCGACGGCACCTCCACTGACTGGCTTCGTACTAAAGATCAAATGGGCGGACGGCCAGCTGACCAGAATTAATTAACAACAAGACACTCTGCAGTGGAACAAACAAACCAACAGGCAAGAGCCGATTGCTCAACAAATATGTAGGAAAAAATGGAGATGGATGGGGCATATGTTGAGGAGGCCGTCGAATTACATGAGGAGTTAGCCAGGCCATCACCTGAGTAGAATCCCAATAGGGAGCGACGAGTGGGTCGTCGATGCGAGGGTGATATGGAGGAGAGCGTGCGAGTCAGATGAGATGAAAGACTATGGGTAATCGTGAGTGGACCCAGATGAAAAGGACTACACAGACTAGACTGGAATGTAGGTTGTTAGGCATAGGTTTATGCATTCCATCCAGCTTGTGTGTTGCACTTTTGATTGTTGTGGGAGGTGTTGGTCGTTACCGAGTAATTGATCTATGGTCTCTTTAGCTAGTTTTTGTCCGATTGAGGTACATAATGCTGTGAAGTCGAAGGATATCATTATTCCTTGTTCATTTATTTGGATGCCTCTGATTTTCGCCAGAAATTGGATAGCAGAGTTGATGGAGTGATCACAAGATTCCGTTAGGTGTCTTAGTTTTCTGTATAATTCTTTGGGTAGATTATAAGTTGGAGTTCCTGGGAGTGAGACGGGATATTTGGCTTGTGTATTTGGGTCTGCCGTAGAATCGAGGTAGGACTGGTCTACTGGATTTCATTCGCCACTGGTTTTGTTTTGTGATGTGTCCAGTTTTGCTGAGCTTGTCTAAGGTCCTTTGGATGCGGTTGTCCAATGTTTGTATGGGATTTGTTGGGAGTTGTTGATAGACATCCTCGTCTTTGAGTAGTTCTTCAGCTTTCTTGGTGTATTCTTCTCTGTCCATGACTACTGTTGTTCTTCCTTTGTCAGCTGGTAGAATGACGATGTACTTCCTATTTTTCGGGCTTTTTGAGGGACTTTAGTTCTTGAGAGTTGAGTTGTGTGTGTTGTTTTTTCTGTTTGACCATTGATACGATTGTTTGGCGCATCTCTTCCTGTGTTTCCTCGTTCAAGTTTGATGATTTGAGTAATGATTAAAGGGCAGATAAGAAATTAGTTTTCGAAGCATCTCCGGTGTTGTAGAGTTTAATCCTTTTTGTAGTAGTTGTTGTTCCATTTTTGATAGTGGTTGTTTTGATAGGTTGACTACGCAGTCTATGGGTGCATTGTCTGGTTGTTGTTTTCTAATCTTGGCTAGCTTGGTTTTGAGGACTCGTTGTCTTTGTCCTCTGTGTTTTCTACTTGACAATGTAATTTGCGGTGATCAGCGTTAGCAGGTGTCCATGGTTGAGGGTTTTCTCTAGTTTTTTTTCTTTTTGAACTTTTTGACACAAACCACCAACCAGACTGGAATGTAGATGTACTGCTGAACCCCGACTGATAGCTACTACCTTGACGTAGTGGTCGGGCTTGCACATAGCGATGACCCAACAAGCTACATTGGCTGGAACCAATCTTCCTGCAGGTCTTACCATGCCAGGAAGGTTGTTAGGATAGCGATTAAACTAAAAGTAGTTACCGGCATCGTGTAAGAGTCTTTCTTACACCATGCTGGGGGTCTCAGGGCGAAGGCGTACTGCTGGGGAACAGGGCTGTAACAGCAGTGAGATGTTTCCCTTAGATGACCAGCATGCCAGTCACCTATGCTGTCTTTCCACGGTAGTCTGTAACCGGCGGTAAATTTACTTATACGGAACCAATCCCGGAAATCAGTTCACACAGGCCGTGTGTGACTGGCCGGCCTCAATCAGTTGTCCCCAGGGATCTGAGGTCATACAACACTAACCCTCTTTCTATTTCAGGTACCTGAAGAGTCAATCAACTTCCACGGTGTGGGCAGCCGGGAAGTAACAACCACCCACACACACTTCCAAAAGCACACGAAGCCTTCCTGAGTATCATTCTACTTTACTCACATCTTGCTTCTCTACTACAGTTAGTACTATTCTGCAGGCTAGCGAGTTATCTTCACTTCACTCTGTGACCACAAACAACGGTAAGAGCCTTAGAAACACCCCCCAGATAACCTTTTAAAGCCACGTCGCCAACTTCATATAGGAGCACTTAACGTACTGCTGAACCTATAATGCTTCACTGGAAATCCAAGAGAATACCAACAATAATAATGATATAAAATATGATAAAGTGAGAAAATGGCGAACAATGAGGGGAGGGGGGCCTGGGGGATCCATCCATCTTTAAAACAATCAGTTGATTCTGTTAACCAAAATTATTTTTTTTCCTTTCTCACCTTATCCCATACTAAAAACTTGTCTCCACTGCCATCCTCCACTTGTTTTTGTAATTTCTCAACGGCATTCAAGAAGATTTCAAGCCAACCAGATACGGGCAATTTACGCTGATCACGTAGTTCATTAGAATTTGATGAATCCAGTGACGGTGTACATGACGATACTTGAAAAGAAGGAAGCAGAGAGGAGGAAGAAGAAAGAGCAATACTTGTAAGAGATAAGCAGATAGACAAAAAAATTATAGAATATAGACATGCACATTCCTGACAAGTTATTCACTCCATAAATATAAATGGAACACGATTAATCAATAATAATTTGATCGAAATTGTAATCATACTTCCTGTTTGATGATAACAGATGGTTGGAGGCGATCGGTCACAGGAAGCTCCGCCTTGGACCTAGGTTTCGTGCCAGTTGACTAGCACTCACCAGTCAACAGGATAGACGACTGGATCGTTGGAAAGAGCATTATGAGGAGCAGTTTAATTTGCCCACAGCCACGCTCAACCTTCCGAGCATCCAACACCTCCCTGAATGGGATATAGACACAGGTCCTCCGTCACTAACTGAGGTTACTAAAGCTGTCACCAATCTGAAACTAGGCAAAGCAGCGGGACCTGATGGAATGACGCCAGAGGTATTTAAGTACGGTGGAGACAGCTTACTGTCCGGATTAACTGAGGTACTAGGCAGCGTCTGGGAATCAGAAGAAGTCCCATCGGGTTGGTGTAAGTCACTGATTATCCCCATATACAAGAAGGGAGACAAGTCTTCCTGTGATAACCACAGAGGGATTAGCTTGACTAATATAGTATCTAAAGTCTTAGGCTCAATAATCATGCGTAGACAGAGTGGTGCTCGGGAAGCACAAACACGAGAGAGCCAGGCAGGCTTTAGACCAGGAAGAGGGTGTATTGATCATATCTTCACCCTCCGACAGATTCTAGAACATAGGAATTCCTACCGGCGTCCAACAGTCATTATATTTCTTGACCTAAAGGCAGCATTCGACTCTGTCGATCGGGAAGTTCTCTGGAGATGCTTGGCTGTAAAGGGAATTCCAAGAAAATATATTGCACTGATTAAGGCACTCTATTCGTACTCATACAGCCAGGTGAGGGCTTACGGCGAGCTGTCATCTGAACTGATGACGACCAGTGGTGTCCGTCAAGGATGCCCATTATCTCCTTTTCTATTCAACTTCATCATAGATGTGTTAATGGACTTAACCCTAGGTGACTTCAGCGACTCAGGGATTGACTTGCTACCTGGGAATAATCTCGTTGACTTGGAATATGCAGACGATATAGTCCTTCTAGGCGAAGACGCTGACGAAAATGCAGAGTCTTCTAAACACCTTGAGCCGCAATCTTCGAATGTTTGGCATGCGATTCGCTCCCGCCAAATGCAAGATGATGTTACAGGACTGGACTACATCGACGCCTAGTTTAAAAATAGGAAGTGAAGTGGTAGAGCACGTTGACCGCTTCACTTATTTGGGAAGTACCATCAGCCCCAACGGGCTGATCTCTGACGAAATCTCAGCACGAATACAAGGGGCTCGTTTCGCATTTGTTAGTTTACGCCGACTCTGGCGTAGACGAGATGTTCGACTATCGACCAAAGGGCGGGTGTACTGCTCATCAGTCCGCTCCGTCCTCCTTTATGGTTGTGAGACCTGGCCACTGAGAGTGGAAGACATGAAAAGACTAGCTGTCTTTGATCATAGGTGCCTGCGTTCTATTTCCCGTGTAAAGTGGCATAATAAGGTGAGCAACATGGAGGTTAGGCGTAGAGTTCTAGGTAAACAGGGGAAATCAATCGACGAAGTCGTGAAGCTACATCGACTGAGATGGTTAGGACATGTGTTACGTATGCCAAGTCATCGCCTCCCTCGACGAGCAATGTTAGCGGATATAGGGTCAGGCTGGAAAAAAGCTAGCGGCGGTCAAACAAAAACTTGGCATCAGTCAATGAAATCCACAACAGTTGGTCTAAGCCACGTAGAAAGGTGTAGACTTCCAGGCTGGGGTCCTCGGGACGGTAAAAATCTATGGTTGGAAACAATTGGTGACATGGCTCAAAATCGTTCTCAGTGGCGCAGATGCATCCACTCCCTGTGACTTATGATCTTCAATGAAACTGTTTTGTATTTCTTTATTACTCCTTTGTCTCACACCTCTGCTCACTGTTTCTATTATGCTTTTCTTGTACTTTCTTCTCTTGCTTCGCGTGCTACACGGAATGTGGCGACTTGAACTTCCGCACATTTGTGCAAAGTTCTATGTCGAAAACAGACAGACAGACAGTCAACAAAGCGTATCCGCAACCACCTTGAAGGAACTACTCATGTCCCTTTTAAGATTCGAATCCACGTCACCCAGTGCTGCAGTTAGTGTTCAATCAAAGTACCCAATACAGTCCTAGAGGAGATCAATCGCGAGCCTGGGTAGCTCATTAATAACGTCTCTGACTGCAGTACTCATTGTGTCATCTACATACCTCCACCATACTTTTGGGGTGGGGGTGAACGTTCACCCCCACCCCAAAAGTATGGTGGAGGTATGTAGATGACACATTCACTGTACTTAGAACACAAGATATAGATAGATTTTTCGAGCACATCAACTCGAAGGTAGAGGCAATTCAATTCACTTATGAATTGGAAAGTCAGGAAGGGGAACTTCCAATGTTAGATTGCAACGTTAAAAGGAAAGAAGATGGGAAGCTAAACACTAGTGTTTACAGAAAACCCACACATTCAAACAGATATTTGGATTTCCGATCATCCCATCCTATGTCAGTAAAAATAGGATTAGTGAAATGTTTAAATGACAGAGCACAAAAACTAAGTAGTACCAAGGAAAATCTAAGACAGGAAGTGACACACATAAAAGAAGCCTTGAAACTTAATAATTACCCGGATAAATTAGTGAAGAAATATGTAAGTAAATGTAAAAATAAAACAAATAATGATAACAGAGATGGTGATAATAATAATAATGATAATAATAATAATAATAACAATAATAATAATGGTAATAATAATAGTAATAATAATAATATTAATAACGACACCAACAATAAGGAATGTAAATCATCAACAATAATTCCATACAAAGAAGGAACCTCGGAAGCCTTACGCAGAATTCTTAACAAGGCAGGAATAAAAGTGGCATTCAAACCCACAAACTCAATTAGAAACAAGCTTTGTCGGTTAAAGGATCCTGTAGAGCCATTAAAACAAAACAATTTAGTTTATCTAATACCCTGCAATGATTGTGAGGTCAAATACATAGGTCAAACTAGTAGAACAGGGGCAGTCAGACTAGCCGAACATAAAAACCTAGCTAAATCTAGATTGGTTGACCCGAATAAGATAAGAAATCTAGAGAGTAGTTCAGCTATAGCACTACATGCAGTTACACACAACCATACAATAGGCTGGATGGGATAGGATGACAGTTTTAAAATCTAATGTCACAGAGTGGAGGGAGAGATTGATAACAGAAGCTTTGTTTATCGAATCAACTGCAAATACATGTAATAGGAATGATTCAACACCTGTCCCAGATATATGGAAAATTCTACTGCCCATACAACAAATAGGAGAAGACAGAGAAAACTATAAAAATCAAATCTCGAAGTCGTGTGACAAAAATTGATATGATTATGAACAATAAATTGTGTTCGAAACGTCATCCAGTATACAATACTGTTTCACTGTGTGATACATTTAATAATCAAACTAATATGGAATTACTTAATACCACAGTGCCCAAGTTTTACACATATATTATTGCGAAGTTTAGTATTATATGGTTAGAGACAATCGGCCCCAGGAAGCCTTACCGGGACCTAGGTTTCGTGCTAGTTGGCACTCATCAGCAAGGCGTATCTGCAACCTCGAAAGAACTCATGTCCCACCTCTCTGAGATTTGAACCCGCGTCACCCGGTGCTGACTGCAGTCAGAGACGTTACCACTGAGATATTCGGGCTCGCGATTGACCTCTTGTAGGACTGTACTGAATATTTTTGATTGGACACTAGTCAGTAACTAGTGTAACGTGTCTAGTCCTAACTTCGATGCAAACTGAATTCTATCAGTCAAGCATGCAATGACTGCAGGCACTGGGTGATGCGGGTTCGAATCTCAGAGGGGTGGGAATGAGTTCCTTCAAGGCTGTTGCAGATACGCCTTGCTGACTGGTGAGTGCCAACTACCACGAAACCAAGGTCCCGGCAAGGCTTCCTGTGGCCGATTACCTCCAACCACATAATACCAATATTTCTCAGCGCACCGTGATGGTGAGCTACCTAGACTGGTGACCACATTGCAAACCTGACTGATGTGAGAATTGAGTCTGCACCAAAGAAAAGACTAGCCAGGCACATCACACTGGTTACTAGTGTCCAATCAAAGCATACTTCCAGTTTGTTGGCATATCATTGACTTTAGAATGAATTCCGCCAGATAACCACATTTAGGAAGTGGTCAGATATGACTGCTAACCATCTGACTACAGGTAGAATTACTGAAATTTGAGCTATCACCACCTGACGTCGGATAGATTTCCTAAATTTCTAATGTGACGTTAGAAGTTTGGTGTGTGAACAGACATTCACAGATAACATTGGATGGCAGAGATATCAGGATGCGGACTGACAGCACCTGAAATTCATTCATAAGTCGTTGGGATTTAACCCAATGACTGAACTGGAATATGATCCCCCTATAACCCGACGGTCTCGATGGGGCAGTAATGCAAAGACTCCAGGGGCAGTATGGTGAAGCGGGTGTCTAGTGCACCTTGAATTTGTATTGTTCCTCCCCACTAGTTACTGTAGACTTTCATCAACAGTTATCTTCGTGGGAATCTGAAGATCAGACGGTCAAAAAACGACAAACATAAAGGGACTAGTCCAGCAAATGAGCAGAAAGGAATGGAGATGGAATGGACATATTATGCTGAGGAGACCACTAAAGTGACATCACGTACCAGTCTCTCGAGTGTAATGCCAATAGAAAGCGACGAGTTCAGCATTAGACAACAACTTGGAGGAGATCATATGAAGATTGTAAGCAGACATGGAGCCTGCTGAACATGATGGTAGACTACCAAGTGGAATGAAGGCGTGTCCTCCATAACAGGATTACTTAACAATGACTATTACGATCTTTCATTTCTTGGTATTATGCTCGCAAGCCAAGCGGAAGTTCCTGGTTCGATTCCTGGCAGACGCACATCCTGTAAACCTCGCCTAGCCAGTAGTGAGCCCTGTAGACAGGGAAGGTTGGGTGTGAGTTCGTTGAAAAGACTTCCTGTTAGTGTGCGTTTGAGCAGCTTTCGCTCCTCATCCTATTCGGAGCTCTCCGGAATCGGTTTTCCTGTCTTAATCATTTCGGATAAGACAGTAGAAATCCATTGGCTCTTATTAACTTTTGGTTCAATGTTATTAAGAGCCTTTACAGCTGTGTCTAGAGCTAACTGTATGTTGTGCCAGGCTTAATTACGAGGAGTCTTGCTCTTGACCTCAAACACTGATTTCGCTATTTCTTCCTTGAACAGAGACTCAGTGTCTTGATCTAACTGGAGATTGAACTGCTTCGCTGCCAACCGCCTTTTTTTATCCGTTTAGTCGTAAGCATAAACATGCGGGAACCAAGGCATGATCGGAGTCTACGCACATATGTTCCAGAGGGAGCGGCAGTCTTCTACTGACCCTCACCAACGATACCCTATCACTATGTAGTCTGTTTCAGTCCAACGTTCATTTATTGATGGAGACATGAGCCTAGCAAAATCAATGTCACTTATATTCATTTCAAAATGCAAACAGATCAAATTAAAATAACTCCTTGAACGAAAAGTAAATACATTAAATTACTTAAACAACCAATATTACAAACTTCTTTTATACCCCCCTTAGTCATCGATTCTATCCGTGGAAAGAGTAAACCCTTCAGCACATCACAGATCTCAACGAGTGTTTATCGAAGCATACAATCTAAAAGTGCATAAACCGTTGCCAATAGAAATCAACTAAGAAGAATGTATCTACATAGTGTGATCCAGTGTGATCTCCTCATCCCCTCAAGACTACATCAAAGGAGACAAAAAACTCCAAAGTCATTTGCGTTGCCATGCAACTGAACAACAACCAGCTCCACCTATTCTATGACGTCTAGTCATACTGCCTGCCTAGCTGCTCAAACCTTAAGTACGTGCAGCGAGATCCCAACCACTTCTCTAGATCCTAGACCAATGAACCACAGAGATACATATCCAGATCTACGTAAGGGGGAGCTAGGTTTACTTCGGTTTAACAATCCGAAAAAAACAATCCGAACGAATGACGCATGAACCTCTTTCGATCAACGACAATCATGGGGATGCAGCACCTGACTTTGTTCCCCATTGCGTCGTGGATGAAAATTCAAGTCAAAGGACAGGTGAGAGGTAGTCCCTCCCCTAAGACAAACACCTGTTTCAGTCTAGGCGTCCGGACAGTATCCCAGCCGGTGCACAATAATTTATGTAGAGCATCTTTTAGTGCCCAAAATGTACCACGTTAGTGTTTTAATAATATTAATAAAACCGAATTAAATCATAGGAACTCGATGTCTTACTTTCGATTAGATCGAAAGTGATCCACAGCGTTAACCGTGAAGTAATTTGGAAACTACTCGAGTACTACGGCGTACCCCAAATATTCATCAACCTTATTCAACAGCTGTACGACAACGGCACATGTCAAGTCATCCACAACGGAAAACTCAGCGAGGCGTTTGGAATAAACACAGGAGTCAGACAATGGTGCTCGCTTATTATCACCAATGATATCCCTAATTGTGATGGACTGGATTATGCGTCAGACAGTGGAAAACGAGAAGACAGGGATATGCTGGACCGACAGACGTGAACAACCCAAGAAGACCTGGATTTCGCGCGTGGATGATTTATGTTCGATGTCACACAAAATCGAAGACTTACAAGCGAGAACCGACAAACTGGTCGAAGAAGCAGCCAGAGAAGAAGACAGAACTCCATGTGAACATAGACAAGACGGAGGTTATGAAAATGACCAACCAACACCAACAACAGCTACATCCACCACCAATCACCACCAACGGGAGGGATTTGAAAGAGGTTACTTCATTCACTCACTTATCTAGGGAGCATTGTCTCAACTACACGCAGTCAGAACGGACGAGGATGTCAAATCGAGCGAGAATCGGGAAGGCGAGCCAGAAACACATTCATCAACCAACTGAAACCAATCTCGAAATCTTCGTCACTCAGCCAGCATCAACAACAAGATTCAGTCGGATTTTCAATACAAACAAACGTCAAGTCAGTCAGTTCTTCTATACGGATCAGAAACTTGGCGGGCGGGCGGGTCACAAAGAATATTTCCAACAGCAGCCTGTTGCAGACCTTTATCAACAACTGTCTTCGCTGGCTCTATACTGAAGACCAGATGGCCGGGTTGGAAAGAATCACCACCAACAAGAAACTGTGGGAACAAACAAACAAAACAAGAACCAATCGCCAACCAACAAATATGCAGGAGAAAGTGGAGATGGATTGGACACTCACTCGCTGAGGAGGCCGCTGGGTGACATCGCGCGCGCGTCAGGCCATTTCTCGAGTGGAACCCGACGAAATGGGAATCGGCGAGTGGGACGTCAGTTGGAGGGTGACATGGAGGAGATCGTGTGAAGAGGAGTTGAAAGAGTATGGACTAACTAACATAGCCGGATGCAGGTGAAAAGTACAGCAGAAGGAAGACAGAAGTGGGAAGTGGAGACGTGCAGTTGAAGCCCTATGTTCCACTAGGAACCCAAGAGTACAATAAAAATAATAATAATGAACAGCACTTAATAATCAATAAAATGAAATGAATACCTGAAGCATGGTTCATTGTTATCGCCTCCTTCAATGTAGACATCTCCAGTGGTGTTGGTTCACGACGATCTTGACGATCTACCCATAGATCACGCATACCAACCAGTGTGACAATATCTCGATGAAATAATCGCCAAGCGAGTGAACTAGCCGCGGATGGTAGCCCAGTATCTATTGAATTAGAATGGCAAGTTTGGTTGGTAGACGAAAGTTGACGAAACCATTCTCTTAAGGTTACCTGATGATTTGTTGGCTTATTTAAGCTTGAATTGTTCAAGTCATCTGAATTGTGTGCATCGTTGGTGGAGCTATCAGGAGGCAACTTCTCTTCGTTTTGACTATGGTCATTATTATTATTATTATGTAGATCTGGATCTGAGAAATCTGGAGAGATATCTTCATCGTCGGCATCCGACTGACCGAATAGTTGGCTACAAGGTTTTTATTTTTGATGCGAGAAACAAAATGGAAAGACAAAGTTCAAGTGTTGGTTTGTAGGGGGATTTGATTGACTGGTTGCAGGATTTCATCATGAGCGGACATTAGTTAGAGAACCATTGAAAAAAACCTGGGAATACTAGACAGCTGTTTCGTCAGCCTAGTTTGGGATTCCTCTTCGGCAGTATGCACCCACCTCAGGGGGATTCGAACCCAGGATCTTCTGGTTACAAACCTAGCGAGCTGGCGCGTAGAACACTAAGCCACTCACTGCGGCCTGATCCGATGGTCAACCCCTTTAAATCTAACTTCTGCAATTGACGACATAGCGCAACCACTAGCCAATGTCATCGCTGGCGAGTATTTGTCCGCTCACACCAGCTGACTTGCTGCACCCTAGTGGTCACGACTTCACACTAGAACCCCAGGTAGCTACCTAGCTGAATAGGGCCAGTCGCCGCCAGTGAGCATCTCATTGTTATTCAAGTGTTGGTTTGTAGGGATTTGATTGATTGGTTACAGGATTTCATCATGAGCTGACATTAGTTAGAGAATCATTGGAGCACCTGAGAGTACTGGACAGCTGGTGGGTGCGTACTGCTGAAGAGTCCCAAACTAGAACGAAACGGATGTCTAGTACTCCCAGGTGTTCCAATGGTTCTTTAATTAATGTCAGCTAATGATGAAATCCTGAAAGACAAAGTGTTCAACAGACTTCCATAATTATTTCAATATTCAATTAAAGGTACAGGAATACAGAACTGTGTAAGTTTAAGTAACTTCTCAAACATGCTGAAACGGATTATACCATTTGCATATAAAAGTAATTACGATTGTTTACTCGAATCAGTATGTAAGCTGTGCTAAGCCAAATGACTGCACCTCAACACAGAGCTTTGCACAGAAGTGCGACAGTTCAAGTTGTCATACGCTTTAATGAAACACATAAAGTGTTGATTAGATATATCACATTTTTTTCCTTCACGTTCCCCAGTGGAACATAGGGCGCCTTCAAGCTATTGGCTTGGAGTTTCTGTAGCAGTGTTTATTTTTACAGGATCGGGTTGCTAGCCTCCTGCCCAGCCCAAGCTTTCCTCTTAACCAGCATTATTTCTAGCTCAGTGAGGTAAAGGAGTGCATCGGTGGCCGGGGATCGAACCCCGGATCATGTCCATGGTCAGCGAGAGTCCTAACCGCTATACCACCGACACACTGATATATCACATACATACACACACACACAATGAGTGAAATAGTATTATGATTATTATTATTATTTACTAAATAACAATGTTTCGAACACAATTTATCATTGTTCATAATCACAGCATCAATTATAATCACACGACTTGAAAACTTGAGTTTTATCCTTTTCTTTATGGCTTCCTATTCGTCGTCGTATGGGGGTAGTAGAACTTTCCAAATGTCCGGATGGACAGGTGTTGAATCATTCTGATTACACACGTATTCCCGCTCAGTTGATTCGATAAATAAATAAATCTTCAGTCAGTTATCAATCTCTCGCTCTCCACTCTGTTGTTATATTAGATTTTAACACTGTCATCTTATCCCATCCCATCCCATCGTATTGCATGGCTGTGTGTAATTGCATGTGGTGTAGTGCTATAGATGAACTATTCTCTAGATTTCTCATCTTATTCAGCTCAACTAATCTAGATTTTGCGCTAGGTTTTTATGTTCAGGTAGTCTGCCTGCCACTGTTCTACTAGTTTGACCTGTATGTATTTGACCTCACTGACAATCATTGCAGGTAGGGTATTAGATAAACTAAATTGTTTTGTTTTATTGGCTGCATTCCACAGGATCCTTTAACCGACAAAGTTTGTTTCTAGTTGAGTTTTTGGGTGGTTGGTTTGAATGCCAGCAGCCACTTTTAATCCTTCCTGCCTTCTTAAGAATTCTCCGTAAGGTTTCCAAGGTTCCTTCTTTGTATGGAATTACTACTGATGATTTGCATTCCTTATTGTTAGTGTTGTCATTACCCTGTGTGTATTTGACGTCCATGTCATTATTAGTATTATTAGTGTTATCATTATCACTATTATTATTATTAATTTTATTCCTACAATTTCCTAGATACTTTCTGATTAATTTATCAGGGTGATTATTCAGTTTTCAAAGCTTCTCAAAAATCTAGTAAACTTTAGATTAGTTGACCCGAATAAGATAAGAAATTTAGAGAATAGTTCAACTATACCACTGACTAAATGCATTTATTATTATATCCTTTAATTCCTAGAGGAACATAGGGCTTTAGCCGCGCGTCTCTATCGCATTCGGTTCTCTGCTAGAGTTTTCACCCGGCTCCAAGTCTACCCACATGCTTTCGTCTCCTCTTCACATGACCTCCTCCAAGTCACCCTCACACTGGTTTCCTCAGCGTATGGCCAATCCATCTCCATTTCTTCCTGCCTATTTGTGTCACAATCGGTTCCTGGTTGGTTCGCTCATTGCCAGAGATCCCTCCCTATTGTTGATCTTTTCTGGCCGGCCATCTGATCTTGAGTAGTATTGAGAGAAGACAACTGTTAATGAAGGTGTGAAGTTTGTTTAGGATGCTCTTTATGACGCGCAGTGCAAGTCTCTGATCCGTATAGTGAGTAGCACTGACTGACTTCACATTAGAGTTGAAAATCCGGATCTTATTTTTGATGTTGAGTGCTGTTGATCTCCACACAGACTTGAGAGTAATGAAAGCTTGCCTTGCTTTTCCGATTCCGGTTTTGATATCCTGACTACATGTAATTACACCCAACCATACAAAAGGATGGGATGGGATAGGATAAGATGACAGTTTTAATAATCTAATCTAATATAACAACAGGGTGGAGGGAGAGAGAGATTGATAACTGACTGAAGCTTTGTTTATCGAATCAACTGCGAGGGAATACGTGTAACTGGAGTGTGATTCAACACTTGTCCACCTGGACATTTAGAAAGTTCTACTACCCCCCCTTACGACGACGAATAGGAAGGAATAGAGAAAAACTATAAAACTCACGTTTCGGAGTTATGTGATAAAAATTGATATGATTATAAACCACAATAAAATGTATTCAAAATATTGTCATGCAGTGAATAATACTGTTTCACTTTCTCCGTGTGTGTGTAAGTGTGTGTGTATATCCAATAAACAAATTAATGTAGAATGGAGTACTACCACAGTGGCCAAGTTCTATCCATTTGTAAAAAGAGAGACAAAGAGTAAATGAGTAAAAACGTCAGGGAGAAATAACAGTCACCTAGGGAAAACACAGAGGTTTAATTGATATATGCGAGATCACAAACACAGGAGGCATTTACGATATTGAGAAGAATTTTAGGCCAGTTATATTCACCAATAGTCTCTAGCTATTAGATCTTAGCATCTCGAAGAACTCAACCAATCGGGAGGTCTACACCTACCTCTGTGGATGGTTCAAACCAACTGTTTAAGACATAACAAGACAAAGACAAAAATCTCTTCAAAAGTAATCCTACATCACACAGTGTGTTATACAGTAATATTAACTGATGACCACGTTTCAAGCACAAACTATTGCCAATCATAATCATATCAAGGCACTACTCACACAACTTTCTTACTTCATTTATATACATGAATAAAAGTTGATGATTAGGCATTTGAATAAAAATCAATACAAAATGATAAAGTACATTCAGAAATAAGAATATGACTGTTAATGATCAATTACAACCAGATGGGGAATAAGACGAGTGTTTTTATGATCAAAATAAATAAGTAACTTGTTAGAATGTTTGTGATGTACTTGAATTGAAATAGAATTTTAGGATTATTTATTATCCTCCTCTGATTTGACTGACTGACTGGTGGTAATAATATCTTCCATATCTCTGGTATTTGCGTTGAGTCATTTCTGTTGCATGTGCTGTGTTGGGTGTAGATTCACTCGATGAACAAGGATTCAGTAATCAATCTCCCTCGCTCTCCACCTACCTGTATTACTCTTTAGAATTTTGACTCTGCCACACCCTATTGTATGGTTGTGTGTTAATGCATACAGTGCTACAAATGAGTTTTTTAAGTTACTTATCTTCGTAGGATCAAGCATTCTTACCTCAGCCAAATTCTTATGTTCTGATAATCTCACTACTCCTGATCTATTAGTTTGTCTGTCTGCTGTTTTCGACATAGAACTTTGCACAAATGTGCGGAAGTTCAAGTCGCCACATTCCGTGTAGCAATCTATTAGTTTGACGCATGTGGTTGAGCAAACTCACAGTCATCTCAAGGAGTTGTGTAAATTATATGATTTTGTTCAATTGGGTCAATCCACAGGGTCCTTTAGCCTATAGGACCTACAAACTAAGCAATAGCACTTAGTACAACAAAAAACCTAAACGATAAAATGAAACAGATAGAAGAGGCGTTGGTGTTAATCAACTAACCGTCCTATAAAATTCATTAGGAAGATTAGGTCAAAAGCAAAATAAAAATAATGGGGAAACCAAAAATGATAACATAAGAGAGGCATCTACAGATCTACCTTATAAGGAGGAGACATCTGAGACCGTATGTAGGATTCTCAAAAGATTAGGATGGCATTCGAACCTACAACCTCACTCAGATATTACAAGCTCTGTAGGCTAAAAGACCCGGTGGACCCAATTAAACAAAATAATATAATTTACAGAATACCTTGTAATGACTGCGAGGTCAACTATATAGGTCAAACTAATAGATCGGAGGTGATCAGATTATCGGGACATAAGATTTTAGCTAAGGTAAGAATGGTTGACGCCGAAAAGATAAGTAATTTAGAAAAAAGGTCAGCTATTGCACTTCATGCGTTAACACACAACCACACAATAGGGTGGGAGAGGGTTAAGATTCTGAAAGGTAATCTATGTAGGTGGAGAGAGAGATTGATTACTCAATCCTGGCTTATTGACTCAATGCAAATACCAGAAATATGGAAGAAATATGTCAGCTAGCATTATTCGACACGTACAACATGTATTCTTGTCATCTCAGTCGATGTAGCGAAAAGACCACTCGCTGTTTAAATCGCTTCTATCTGGATAGCTAAGCAAGCACCATTGATCGATGTGCCTACTGTCCAACTCCTGTCAATCAATTAAATTGTATGCACCGTGATGAGGATTCATGCCTTTTCATCAATATGTACTACGATTCAACAATCGTGTGTGTTTGTGCTTATAAACCATCAAGTTTCGGTAGCAGTAGTTTTGCTTTTATTTTTACAGGGTGGAGGGAGGGTTGCTAGATTCATGCCCAACCTTCCCTCCTTACTGGTCTTATTACTGGCTTAGCCAGGTAAAGGAGTGAAAACGAACAGGGATCGACACCCGGACCACATATGTGGTTTGGCGAGCATTTTATCTCTAAGCCACCGACACTGTCCAGACTTCAGTAGAGGCTAGCACGCACCCATTATACAATTGGCTGAAGTCAGCCCTCTCCGTGCGGATACAGACGGCTAGTTTCGCATAGGCCAGTTCACGCCGCCTCTGGCACAGTAGACGTGATATCCCACTGGCTATCGACCAAAGGGCGTGTGTACTGTTCAGCAGTCCGTTTCGTCCTCCTTTATGAGACCTGACCATTGAGAGTGGAAGAAATGAAAAGATTCGCTATCTTTGATCATAGGTGCCTGCGCTCTGTCTCCCGTGTGATGTCGTATAATAAGGTGAGCAATATTGAGGTTAGGTCTCGGTGGAGTGCTAGGTAAGGAGGGAGGGGAAATCAATCGACGAGGCTGTGAAGCTACATCGACTGAGATGGTTAGGACATGTGTTACGTGTGCCTAGTCATCGACTTCTTCGACTGACGGGCAATGTTAGCTGATATAGGGTCAGGCCGGAAAAGAGATAACTAGTGGTGGTCAAACCAAAACATGGCTTTATCAGCCAGTGAAGTCCACAACAGTTAGTTTCAGCCAGTCACGTAGGAAGGTGTAGACTTCCTGACTGGTTGGCTGGGGACAGTAAAAACCAATGAAGGCTGGAAACGATTGGTGATATGGCTTAAAGTGATCGTTCTCAATAGCTGACGCTTGTGCAGATGCATCCACTCCTTGTGACTTATCATTTCCAATGAAACTGTTTTGTTCTTCGTTATTACTATTCCTTTGTCTCACACCTCTGTTTACTGTCTCTATCTGTTATGCATTTCTTCTAGTTTCTTCCCTTACTTTGTGTGGTACATGGAGGGAGTGTGGAGACTTAAACTGCCGCACATATGTGCAAAGTTCTATGTTGAAAACAGACGGACAGACAGCATAATTAGAAATAACTGTTGTAAACACTGATTATATCGAAAAAAACAAGATATTTTTCGCCTACCACATGAATTTTTCAGAGTAAATCTAGTCAACACGTATAAATTATCTTACTTGAATAAATATTTTGCCCATACAACACAATGGATTGGTTCAGAAGGTGTATTACGTATAGTACAAGCAGGATAATGACGTTGGCCTAAACCACGCGGTTGACATTCATAACATCCAGTACGATAGGCTGACATATTGTCATTCAGTTTTCCATCCGAATGTGTTGATTCATCTGTTCGAATGACAGGAAGCAGTGGTTCAACTTGTCCCAAGTAACCAGCAGTACCAGATTCGATTAAAGGAATCTTTGCTGATACACACATACGATTAACATGTTTTCGTGCGGCTGCAGATGCAAAAAATGAAATATGTATGCAATGTAATCATTTCTATTATTGTTATTATTATTACTAAAACATAAACTTGGGATAGTATGGGTGCAAGAGATGCGCCACACACACAAAAGGGACCACAACCCCGAGCATTGTACTTGAAATCAAGTCCACAAGGTAGTGGAGCGGAGTCAGGAGCGACGTTCACATGGTTGTGGACGGCCGAAACAGGTTCAAGCACCATTCGATCCATTTAGATTGTGCAGCCCATGCAAACTATAGATTTGGAATCAAGGTTTTTCCAGCTCTCCTATGCTGAACAGCATATTCACCAATCTAGTTGTAAGTTTCCGACGTTAGCATTCAGTCTTTCAGCTTCGCTTTCTGTGCTATATGGAGGGAGGGTAGGAACTTGAACTGCTGCACACCTGTGCAAAGTTCTACATTGAAAACAGCCAGTCAGTCAATCATAAGATGTTAAATATCGTGATGATGTAGTGTCAGAAGATTTACACTGACAAGACTAATGCATGCACCAAAAATCATTATCCGACTAATATGATTAAAATGTATATCACGGTAACACTTTTTCACAGTATAGTAGTGCATGAATACTTTACCAAATCTAACGAAGTTGATAGTCTGCCACCGGCGCCTATCGATTTTTCAGCGTTCACCTGTCTTACTAACCATTTCGCAATACGCTCTCCCAAACTCCATGCAAGGCGTGATTACTCCTCCCTATGTATGTGTCCAAAAACACACGTAAATTGGTATATAGTGTGGGGTGTGACATAATCACTTGTACACTTCTGGGGTTTGCAGTGGAGCATAATTTTGGCTTTTTCAATAATTACAAACCGAGCCCCATAATAAGTGCTGTGGATGATTGAATTTAGTTTCTGTCTCAAAATCCTGCCATTCACTTCCCCACTGAACAATAATTTAATGAAAACACTTTTCTCGGGGACAGAGTAGCTTGTAGGTTTTAAAACTAACTGCCTTCTGCACCGCTTTAAAAATTCCAGAGGATATATGTTTTCGGCGTGTGCGTCTGTGGCACAACGGTAGGATGATTGCCAACAACACCATGTGGTCCGGGGTCCGATCCCCAGCTGACGCGCCCCTTTACGTCTGTGGGCTAGTAATGACTGGTAAAGAAGGAAGGATGGGAATGAGGCTAGCAACCCCATCTCGTAAAAATAAACACCACTACTACCAAGCCATCAAGCCTCTATAGCTTGAAGCCCCATGTTCCACTGGGAACGTAAAGGAATAAAATGCGTTTCCGACGAGAATATCCATTAGTATTTAATTTTTATCCTCTTTAACGTCAGCTGTACAAATACACTGAAGTCTCTTGATTAAACATTTCACCAAGCATCTCGCATACTGCAGTGGAAAGGAGTATGTGTGCGTGAGTGAATTATCCCCACTATTCTTAAATCCGTCTTGTCACTTTGTGTATTTTAAATGGCAAAATACATCACTCCATATTTTTTTAGATAATCTTTGTCTTCAAATAACACTATCTAAATTTATAAAAGGGACTAACTGTTTTAATTAAGCATTGCGAATATGTACAGCAGAAGTTTACCATCAACACTGCGAATACAAAGGGATTGAACTTTTAAGTTCACATAGCAGATGTTCACAAGTGCTAATGGAGGCATTCTAGACTTATGAGTTAATAGAAGAGTAATTGGATACTTATAACAGGTGGTTAGCGTCAACATAAGGACGAATTCAGTTAGTTAAATAAGCATAAACCCTAAATAAAACACTGAAAAGCTGCACGTAGCTCCACATTGACGCTCTGTGTGAATTATGATGCAAGGTGAGAATATGAATACATAGTACACAAAAATTAGGAGTATGCCATTCTAGGCTACATTATTATGTAAGATCTGATTGTGTTGGTTGATAATAAACTTACCAAGATTGTCTAGTGCATTGAAAACAACAGCAAACTTTTCAAAAAACGTAGAATTAAATGTAGAGCTGAAATCAAGTCAAAGAAACTAACCACTTAATTACCTAAAAATACTTTTGTGGTAGGCGACAATGTTGGCAGTTGATTTAAAGGCCAAGACATTTTCTCTGGCTGTCTGTTGAAGAATTATATAACGAAAATATTACTCAGACCTCTGCTTTGGATCGTCCAACGTGCTTTTTATGGAAAAGAAACTGTCTATTTAGGTTGCTGATATCGATGGTATCGAGATCGACCTTCAAAATAATAGTAAAAATTTAGAAGAGTAACTTACGATTGTTATGTTATCAAAACCATTATACACTAAATTCTTTAGTAGTTCACATCCAATGCCACCAGCACCAACCAGAAGAACAGGTAAACATTCTGTTGTCCCGTTCATTTTCAAATGAAACAGATAGCCAGACCTTGAGAATCCAATATCCAATATTGTCTTTACAAACAAATATTAACCAATTTGATTTCTTTGTGCTCGCTTCTTGATTGGGAGGTAAAGGTTTCTGATCTTCGGTTAACTTCTGCATAGTACCACTCGACTGCTTTAGCTTTGGTTGACTCCAAAACGGAATAGCGCTCGAATTAATCGCATGTTGTTTGTAGTATGTGGCCTGTAAAGGCTTTGTTGTTACTGTGAATGGATTTGATCCTTTCACCAGTTAGTCCTCCGGTATCGTCTTCAAAAGAAGAGACAATAATAATAGATATAATTAGTGTAAGTTATTCAGATTAAAATACAGAAAAAGAAATGAAAAAAATGGGAAAACAGACAGCAACTTAAATCTGAAGTTGCAATATATATAATAATATATATTCTCATTTTTTACATGAGGGACGCCAGTTTACAGGCATCATCAATTCGATAATTTACACATAATATTAATAAGCATATTTAGTAAAGATAATATAATAAGGTACTTTTTTTCCCTAGCTATGTAGGGTACACCAATTGTATAGGCATGCATAAATATTGTTTTAATAATAATAATATATTCCTTCCTGTTTATGCAGGAACATACCAATTGTACAGGCATGGATAAGTTATTATATAAATTACACATAATTTGATGTATAATGGACTTACAGTTTGGTTGTTCTTTCTGTCATTAGAGTCAGTCGGAACAGTCTGCTATAAAGTCTGTTTGTGTAGCACATAAAGAGATACAGAAATATTGTCTTCGCATTAACAAAAAACAAAAAACCCAGATATCAGATGAATGTAATACAGATATCTGGGAAAAATAAAGCTTGAAGTCAATTCTCCTATATAACTTTGTTGTGAACAGCACCCTTGGCTTAAAGTTTATTGATGTATTATGTTGAGATCAATGATGTATTTATTCCATTTTTCAGCAGTCTTATCTTAGTTTCATAACAGGAAAGAAATTTGATCGTGGAGGCGAAAACTAGATAAGGTCATGTTGGGTTAGGGTTATATATGCATATATAATATGCATACATATTATATGCACAAATATATATATGCATATATATTTATATGCATATAAATATATATGCATATAATATCAGTATTAATGATAAGTGTAAGTGTAGCAGTTGTAATTGTCAGGAAAGTAAGACGGGAGAGAATTTAAAGAGGTAAAACGACGAATTCAGTTGTCTACCCATGAATGGTATATGGGGTTTTAAGGGAGTAGGCATTTGGACTCTGTCCTTGTGTCACTGCATGATTGTCCAGCCTTCGCTTAAAGGCGCGCGCATTCCATGCAATAGCTATATCTGTTGGTAAGGAGTTCCAGGGATGGCAAGCCCGCAGTGGAAAGAATTGGGAGTGCACCCGGATCCTTGCCCTCTGGTGTGTTATACTTCTGTGGTTTCCAAGAGGAAGCCCATACCTACTCACTGGCATAACACCTTTGTTTGGGTGATCCTGGCCGTTTTCTTTCCTGTTAGCAGTAATCAAATCCCACCTAAACCGTTGGTAGCTAAGCGTGAATAGCCATAATTTCTTTAGCGTTTCATCATACGCTTTATTTCGGAGACTCGTTTTGTAGCCCATCTTTGAACTCTTTTCAAAAGTTTCGTGCCTCTTCTAATCAGTGGGGCCGCAATGACATTGTACGCTTCAAGGTTTGGTTTGACGCATATTCTATAAAAACTCAGAAAGAGCTCAGGAGTGAGCGCACCTGTCTATGTGTCAAGTGTATGAACGCATATTCCCTCACTACATCCCCGTGTAATTCACACTTGTGTCTATTTTCTCCGTTAGCTTTAGATCTTAGTTATGCTCCGACGTTGTTCAGGACAAGCTTTCGTTGCACAAGTGCGCAGTCGCACAGCTTTGCAATTTTTGGTTCGCAAGTCATACCACTAGCCACCGCACAGTCTTCCAAAAGCCTTAGATCTGTCTGCAGCCCATTGCAGTTTTCCGAACACTTAATTGCTCTCCATATCTTTACTTCGTCAGCGTATAGAAGAGTCGGACAGCTTAGACGGCATGGTAGATCATTGATAAAAATCAAAAACACCAGTGGTCCTAGGATGTAACACTGTGACATTCCTGATGACGAGCCATGCCAAGATGATCAGCCTCGACTGACCTAGTGCAAAATTTACTTTCAGCTTGATGGTCCTTAACCTTGACAGAAGCAGTTTACCCATACCTGCCTGACTTATTTCGTGCAGGAGAACGTCATGGTGAAGTGTTTCAAAATGACAACATGGATTGGAAAATTCATGATGCCCGATCGTCCCAAGGTGACCAAAGGGTTTATTACACAGAATCTCCCCTCCTGAAACCTTGTTGGTCTTCATGTAGTCTATTAGTCATATCGAGTCCTACTGATGTGATCATCATTATTATTTACCAGTAACTTTGATACCACTGGGAGTAGGACTACTTGTCTATAACTAGTGCCATTTTGCCTATCCCCATCCTTGAAGATCGCAGAAAGGATGGCTCTTTTCCACTACCTTGGAAGTTTTCCGAACCCATCGAGTGTTGGAGCAAGCAGCATAAGGGTCGGCCCACTGTTTCATGACAGATACTAAACATTTATATTTTCATATGAACATAAATTTACATGGAAATGCGTGCCATTTTTACAGGCACGATCAAGTATGTTATAATGTCAAATCTTAAATTGTCTACAAGTTAATAATGTTTCGACAGTTAAATATTTCATACATATATATAATTACACTCATTGTCTGAACCAGGCCGTATAGTTATTCAATTGTACAGTTGTCCTCCAGGTTGAGCGGGAAATCGACTTCGTTTCGTTTTCGTCCCGTGGTTGTAGGCATACGATAACCAACCAATATTGAGGTAAGTACAACGTTTACAAGGGATTGGAAGCTCTTTTAGAAAAGTTAAAGTGCTAAGGTGAAACATTAAAGTGTAATAAAATAATTAAGTGCAATATACCATTATTAAGTGCATTTATAAAGGAAAAAGAATGGGAAATTAATTTATCACAAGGCTGACAACGTTCATTTGCAATGTGTAATAAAACCAATATATTTTGTACTGTCATGATGTCCACTTTTGGCTTTAATACAATTATTTTCAAGCCAGTTGTTTTTATTTCATGCCTTTTGTCTATTTGGTGCACAACCGCACCCTACAGAGAATAGGAATAGAATAAGTGGAATTGAATTCATAAAGGGCTATAAAATGTTAGGTTTAATGGAATATAATGAGGATCAAGTAAAGACGTTATTAGAAAATGAATGAGGTAAGACATTGTGAAGTGGTATTTAAAGATCAGTCAATGGACAGCAAGTTAGTTTATAAGATGCCCCATAAATCTGTGCAGAGCCCACCTGGTCGCATCTCAACAATAGGCTGAGTGAATGGTATATATTTCAAGGCAGAAGCATGATCTGTCTAGGCTTTCATTATTATCTTTTTCAAGATAGAGATCTAAGCCCTCATAAAAATCATGGAAATCTCGAGCCTTCAAATTGCATATTGCTGTTCCTGCAGAATGGGGTGATTCACCTTAGTGACCACCACCATATCTACTGATCAGCTAGCACCACCCTCCCTCCTTTTTTTGATGTTATGCTCTGAGACTATGATTATTATGGCTACTGCAAATATATTGCTTGGTACCTGACATGTTCGTACCCCATATTCCATCTCCCTAGCTTTCTTAATGAGTGCTTCCAATAGGTCTCCACGTACATCTTTATGAACATATTATATTTGTGTGCATGCATCCATATGAACAGATTACTTTATAAGAAGTTAAAAAACTTAAAGAGTAAAACGAATAGTTATTGTGAATGGTGGAGCAAGATTCAGCAGAACACTCTAGTTAGGGTTCAATGTAGATAGTATGAACTGAAGGTAAGGTCGGTTGGCAGGACTTAGTGTACTAAATTATCATGACAGTCTTATATATAGTCAACATTTGACATTGCAAAGTAACCTGTCTACATATATTATAAAAAGATATTAACAGAACCAACAAAATTTTGGCATTTGGTTAACAATACTGCAGTGTGTGTATACTGAAGAATGGTAGTTAGTCTACAGGGAGCCGTAAAGTAAATCGATCTATATATGATGAGAGTATAATTAATATTATAATGCGTATTATCAAATAATATACTAGGCTCAATAATTGAGTGTTATAAGGGAAACAAGCGTGGTAAAGCAACAGAACATTTGATGCATAAATATTTTGATCATTTTAAGTATTTTAACAATAATCTAATTTTAAGAATTGAACATGCATGATTAGCAAGTATTATTATATTAGTATATATTGCTTCGCCCGGTACGTTCGAATCAGGTGACGCTTTTGCACGTGTTTTCGTTTATATTCATTTATTGGTTACTAATAATTGATCTTTAATAACGATGGTTCAAAATTCTAAAAAGCGTGTTCGTGTGAACACCACTAATTTAGAAAATAGCACCAGCTCGTCTAATAACACATTACCACCCCATATTATTAGTAGTTCACCCAACATAAAAGCCTCGAACATAACTCTGACCCCTGTAATACAGGTGGAAGATGTTCTGTCTGAAAAAGTAGAGCTCTCTTACTTAACGTGCGTAATTAAAGAGATGCAGCTACAGATAGATGAATTAAAAACGAAATTAAGTTCACTAGAATGTATACCCGAAACTATCTCACGTATGAAAAAGGAACTGCAGGATCCTACAATCCTAAAGCTTTTTAATATGACCTCTAGAATGACTCATACTGACTCAGAAAGTGCGAAGGAGTTAGAAAACGCCATCGACTTTCTATCCAGCGAAGTTGTTAGAAGGCTGGCTTCAAAACAAAACGCAATAGTGTATAATGTACCGGATAGCGAGCCCATAAAGTCAGTCCAGCACTCATTGCTGAAGGCTGCAAATCTCTTGAATGCACCTTGTCAGTGCATTCGCCTAAGCAAAAAAGACCT